TTACATGGAATAACATAGATAAATCTCAAAAGTACAATGCTAAGGGAAAGAAGCCACGCTCAAAAGGCCACATGCTGTATGATTCCATTTATTTGACTTTCTGGAAAAGGCAGAAATCAGATCAGTGGTTGCTAGTGGATGGGGAGTGAGGATTGACTGCAAAGGGTCACAAGGGAATGTTTACAATAGAACTGTTTTGTATCTTGATTGTGGTGATGGTTAAACTATATACATTTGTCAAAACTCATCAAACTGTACAATTTAAATGGATGAATTTTATTGTGTATAAATTAAACCTCAATAAACCTGTTTTAGAGTCAGCCCTGGTGGTCTAGTGGTTAAGATTCAGTGCACTCTCTGCCGTGGTCTGGGTTCATTTCCTGGGTCAGAGAACCACACCACCCACCTGTCAGTTGTCATACTGTGGTGGCTGTGTGTTGCTGTGATGCTGAAAGCTATGCCATCGGTATTTCAAATACCAGCAGGGTCACCCATGGTGGACAGGTTTCAGCAGAGCTTCCAGACTAGACAGACTAGGAAGAAGGACCTGGCCACCCACTTCTGAAAAAATGGCCATGAAAACCCTGCGAATAGCAATGGAGCATTGTCTGATAGAGCACTGGGAGGTGAGAGGATGGTGCAGAAAGACTGGACAGGGTTCCACTTTGCTGTACACAGGGTCGCTAGGAGTTGGAATCGACTCGATGGCACTAACAACAAAAATTTTCTTAAAACAAGAAACAATGATAGATGGACGAACCTCAAAACCACGCTAAATGAAAGAAGCCATACTCAAAGACTATATACTGTATGTTTCCATTTATATGGAATTCTAGAATAGGCAAAACTAATCTATGGTGAAAGTAAGAAGGATAGTGGTTGTCTGGGGGTGTGATGTGGGGAGCAGGGTAGTTACCAGGAAGGGATATGAGGGGTATTTCTGGGTTGATGGAAATGTTCTGTGTGGGTTGATATGAGTATGGGTTTCATGGATGTATTCAATTATCAAAACTTATCAAATTGTACACTTAAGGTCTGTCCATTGCATTATATGTAAATTATGCTTCAGAAAGGAATGTAGAAGTTAGGCCAGATTAAAGAGAAACAAAGAGAGAAAGATCTGGTAATGTGTTGGATTTGGGAGGTGGTAAAGATAGTGTTTCTAGCTTTGGAGACTGGTGGATGGGGTTATCATTTTCCAAGATGAAGAATAGTGGGGAAGCCAAACAGGTTTCGGGAAAAGGTAACGAGTTATGTTTTGTTGAGTGTTGAGTACCCGTGGGATGTTCTAGTGAAATTGTCTAGAAGGCAGTTGGAATTATGGATTTCGTGTCCAGGAGACACTTGACTAAAGATACAGATATGAATGTCATTATCATAATATTAATTACAGCCATGAGAATACATGAAGAGAAATAGAATTGAGAAGGAGAGAGACTTGAGGATGTTACCCTGAGCAAACCTACCAGTGAATAGCTGGGCAGAAGAGAAGGAATGAAAGGAGAGGAAGGAGGAGAATCAGAAGAGAGCAGTGTCCTGGAACCCAAGGGAGGAAAAGTTCCAATAAGTAAGGGGTGGTCAAGTTTCAGATGCTTGGGCTTGGCAGTAAGGTAGTCTTTGGTGATCAGAGTAAGAACAGTTAGTTATGAGAGAGTGGGAGCAGAAGCAAATTCTTATGGGGTGGGGAGCAAATAAGCATTAAGAAAGTTAAGATAGCAAAGAGTAGCTTGCTTCTTCAAGAAGCTGCATTAACGAAATAGGGAGATGAGGGCACTAGTGTAAAGTAGGAGGTGGAGTCAAGCTTTTTCTTACCACTCACTGGTGTAATTTTCATTTGTTTTGATTTGGCTGGGGGCTGAAGGAAATACTTCTCACCAAGGAAAAGTTTCCTGAGGAACTGTTGTTGAATAAGGGGGTATCCACAGTCCTTAAAAAATACTAGCGCTTCTGTTGCTATGAAGACAGCACAGAGGAGCAAAGAAAGTAGCTCTCAGAACTGGAAAAGCCTAGCTTGCCTGCACCCTTAATGACAGGAACATAGTAGCTCTCATCCTGGATACTCAGTTTTGAAATTCTGGGCACTACTGCTAAAACACACAACATTACAAGGGGAGGAGGTTTAATATTCTCAGTCCAACCTACTCCTTACATTTTAAAGCCTTTAATGTCCACAGAAAAGACCAGCCATAAGTTAAAAGGGTCATTGTAAGGCCTCTAGAAGCCTGCCAAGGACCCAAATTAATTTTCTAAAGCTGAGTTGATTATTTTAAGAGATAACCCTGACACGAATGCTGTCTTTTCACCCCGTTCCCCTCCCCCATTTCCACCCCCAGAGCTAGGCTTTGTACTGTGTCATGGTGCCATCACACACCAGTCTGTTTCTTCTCCCACTCCTAGATGATAGTAGATCCAAGCCTGGTGCCTGTGCAGATGTAGTTAGATTCAAAGCTGATTTTGAGATAGTTTAGTTTTGTTTACCTGGGTAAAAATTAAGTTGGCACTGTAAAGGGTGTTTCCTGTCTTAGGATCATTTTTTTCTCCTTGATTCCCAGAAGGTTGGTTCTCAGCCTTTCAACTGAGATTCTTAGAATTAGCTTCTAAATTTGAGAAACTCTTAAGTAAATGTGTTGGCTTCTTAATGTGAGGTGTTTAAATAATGGGTCTCCTTGATTGATGTGCTGATGTCAGTTGTCTTCATTTGTGGCTGATTCTGCACGCCTGATTGATATGTACATCAGTTATTATTTTCACTCTGTTCCTCATACTATTATTGTTGATAATATTACCGCTTTATGAAACAGTTGAATCCCGTGCTTCAGCTTTTAAAAACTGAAGAGAATGTTATTTTTCTTGAATCAAACTCACCTTATGTTCTCTCTTGCTTCTGTAATATTAACATGGACTTGTAAATTTTGCAATTAGCTTTTTCTTTTAAATGCTTTATTTAGTGCTATATTACAAAAGATTTTTCTCAGATTAAAACTAAATATTCTATGGCGTGACTGAAGATTAGGTAAAATATTCAGAAGGATGTTTGGCATAAAAGCTATGAATTTGTTGCCAAAAGAAGATAAGTGAAGGAGCTTTCTTTTCTTTATGTTTTAAAGTATAGATAATATTTTAATTTTTGTGTAGTTACATGAGGGTGAATCCCATCTCAGACTCTTATAGTTTGTGATTATTTTTGCAAATTAAATGGAATCTTAGGTAAGTACTATGGAAGCTAAGTCATTCTTAGAAACTTCTCCCTAGAGAGAATTCAAATATGAATCCATAGTACATAAATAGGAGTTCTGGATATAGGTTTACTAAACATACAGATATTGACAATGGTGATTACCAGAGAGGATAAAGGAAACCAAAGGATGCTAAAGAAATGTCAGAGAGAGAAATGATTTCCCAACTTCCACAGTGAATAAGTGGTAGATTCATGGCAAAGATCCAGGTTTCTAGATTCCCGTTCTAGGATTCTTGGTACTACATCAGACTTCCTGTGTTCTGGAAAAGAGTCTTTGGCACTATATTTTTGGAGCCTACACTTTTTCCCTAGTTTTTGAGAGGTTTGATAAATGGGAAAATCTTTTTTGAGGTAAAGAAATTTATTTCAAAGTGAATTTCTAGAAAATACCTGGTTGTGTTCTGTGGGTGTGAGCTGTGGCCTGTGACCTCTGGTCGAACTGTAGGGAAGCTAGTCTTTTCTCTTGGAAAGAAGGTGTAAAGAGTTTATTTAAGGGGCACAGAGTGGGATGTTTGGGAGTGAGTGGGACTTCTGAAAATCCGACATGTTTGATATAAATATACGATGGAGGACTATGTACTATGCTTTCTGTAGAGAGGGTCTCATTAATAATAATGAGAGTAAAGATTGCCAGCTGAGGTTCCAAAGGGAGCTTTTCATCCCTGCATCTGAGAGAAAAGCCTACTCGTAGTTCTTGCTTTGCTCTTTGCAATAGTTGGGGAGTTAGGGTAAGAGAATCAGCATAGAATCCAGAAGCCATGGGAATTTGATCTCCAGCTCCCTCCTTTAAATAATAATAGTAGTGCAAGATGGCTTGTCACAGTCCGGCTCTCCTGCCACTAGCTCCCTCCTTTCTCTTTTGTCTGTATCTTCTCTATGTTGGGCCAGTGTATTTTATTTTCTGTCTTCAAAGGGAAATTGAAACCATAGAAGAGGGGAAAAAATAAATACATTTTATACTTAGGTGTCGTCTTGATCTAGGTTGCAAAAGCAAGATCTTGGTTTAAGAAAATGTGATGGAAGCATCCTAGAGAGATGCCTTAAGTAGAATTTTCTATTTTCAGAGTATGGCGGGTAAGTGGTGGGGGAATACAATCCAGAACAAGCCCAAAGCAGCGCTGATACTGGCTCTACTTGTTGCATTCCTGTCCCAACATTTTTTAACCTATAAGCACAGCAGAATCATGCTTGTTGACTCTCCTAGAATCAGTTCACTTTCTGTTTAGAACTCAGGAACGACAGTAGAGTGGATGATTAAAAAAAACAGTAGAGGGGCCAGCCTGCTGGCGTAATGTTTGGGTTTGCGTGCTCTGCTTTGGCACCCAGATTTATGGGTTTGGATTCTGAGCACGGACCTACACACTGCTCATCGAGCCATGCTGTGTCAGTGGTTCACATAGAAGAACTAGAAGGACTTAGAACTAGGATATACAACTATGTACTGGAACTTTGGGGAGGAAAAAAAAAAAGAAGATTGGCAACAGATGTTAGCACAGAGCTAATCATCTTCACCAAAAAAAACCCCACCAAGAATAAAACCAAAAAAACAGTGGAATATTATAGTGTTGTTTTCTTATTATCTCTAGAGCTTGATTAATTTCTCTTGAACTTGAAAGATTCTTTGCTTCTGCTTCCACTTATTACTTATACTCAGCAAGTTTCTAGGCCTCTGATGGGAATTGATTGGGTTGAATCTTCCAGATCTTTGTTCAGTTGTGACATGGAAAATGATCTTGTGTATTGTGTTATGTTGTATTTCTAGAACTCTATGGCTTTGATGTGCTCATAGATTCTTCTCTGAAGCCATGGTTGTTGGAGGTGAATCTCTCTCCTTCTTTGGCCTGGTGAGTAGTCTCTTCCATCAACTAGAAAGGACAAACCTTCAATGAGTAGCACTAAAACACTTTTTTTTGGTCATTTCTCTTGGCACTAGGAGATCTTTTCCCCTAGTTATTAGATAGAGATGACTAGAATTTCTAAATTTGGGGGATATGTGGTATGTTGTCAAAGTCCATGCAACCGTGAATCCCTATCTTACTAGTCAGTTTGCAATCTGTGTTTACTGTCTTGTTGGGCTTCTAAGGGATGATGCTTGCATTTATTTTTATCCCCATTTCTCTCTTTCTTTTTTAAAACTTTGTCGGTGTTCTGCTAAGGCTAAAGAAATACATGAGGTATTATATTTCCTTTATTACCAAAGGTTTATGCAGACTCAAATCCACATATACTGTAAAGGTGTCTAGAGCTGGGCCCAGGGTAGTGTAGATCATATCTGGTCCTTTTGCCCTATCCATGTCCTGGTATCCATCCAAGATTAAAGTCCAAAAACTTCAAACAGTCTTTAAAAAAAATTTTTTTAACCTATCTATTGTTTAGAAGAAGGAAAGAAACATATTTTTCAATAGCAGAGAAGATTCTGCTTGTATCTGCAGCTACAGCCAGAGTTTCTATTAGCTATATGCTTCTGTAAACAGCTAGAGACCCTAGAGATTTATGCCAGAGACCACACAGCTGCTGCATTTTTAAGGATGAGAAATGTTGGCAAAATGCCAAATAATCAAAGAAAGACAGATTGACTGCTTTTGTGGGGTGAGAGTTTGGCTTAACCCCAATAGCAAAGTGTAGAGCTAGATATTACAGATGCTTCAGATGTTGTGCTACACTTTTGTTAAGTCAGCTGTTTGCAGACTACCCAGCAAGGTATATCATACAATGTTAGTGATCCCCAGAGTGATGTGTCAGGTCTAGCAGCCGGAGTGCCCTGGTTCATGGAGGAACACCTCAACGCCAAGGCCAGCATGGCAGTTACTGCCCCAGAGAGGCCTCCAGCTTTCCGTCCGTCTTGTTTCTGTTTCTGTGTGTGTTCTGCTGCATCAACTGGTGGTATTTTGGTATAACCTGTATTTTTTGTCCTCATTTGCAAGCCTGCAAGCTTCAGAAGATTGATTTAGAACAGAAAATGAAGGTTTAAAAAAAAAGTAATAGGTGGCCAAAGTTTCTTTTCTTGCATGTGAATGTGATTTGAGTATTGCAGCAGTAAAAACTAATTTGGATGATGGGCACGGGCATAAAAGAGCGTATTAAATGTTTGAACCTCTAAAATCCGCAGTGATAATGAAGCAGTATTCTTGTGCAAAATTTGAATTGCACAAGACCTTCTGGAATAGAAAGATTGCATGTCAGGGAATCAACGCCTTGGTGCTCGGCCTGCCCTGCAGAGGATGAGTTTAACACCAGGGTTTTATTTCTAGCATTTTTGCCCAGATTTCTTTTTCCTTTTCCATGGATTTGATGTGCTTTATGTGTTGCCTCTCACTGACATTTGGAAGCTTTGCTGTATTGGGGCCCATTAAGGACAGCCGTGCTGTTAACCTCTAAAGTTGTAGACTGCTCTCTTCTTTCTCTGTTCTGTTAGTGATGCGCCTCTGGACCTGAAGATTAAAGCCAGTATGATTTCAGATATGTTCACTGTTGTAGGTGAGTAGTAGTGTTTTCTGAAAACTCACATAAAAGTTAACCAGAGCATCCATTTTGTCAGGCTCTATAGGTGTTGCCAACTGGCAGTTCCTAAGCCATGCTGAATGTTTTGTACTAAAAAATTATATTTTCAGGGAAGTGTTTATATGTTTCTACTCCTCCTGGCTCCATCCTGTCCTGAGGCTGAACCACAACTAGGGCTGAGACCTAATTCCTGGGGCATAGGAATTATGAGCTGAGAAAGAGAATTAAGCAAAGATCTAGAGAAAGTATATTTTTCTCTGAGCTAGGATAGTGAAAACCCACTGAAGACGCTTTGTTACAAAGGAGACTGGCTGCATTTCTGCAGACAGCCTCTGCCGGTGTCAACATGAGCCCTTCTGCATTAGTTACGACTGAAGCAGCCCAAGGAAGAAAGCCCTTTCTGAGTAGATAAGCCAAAACTTTGAAATGGAGATGGGCAGTCAGGTGGGTATGTTGTGGGTTTGTTGCTGTTGTTTCCTTAAGTACTGTAAAAAGAGTTACTAAAATGGATTTGAAGTGCTGTAAAACTTAGCTCCGTGGATGGGAATCTGCTTCCTTTGGGAAGTGGAATTAGCCCAGCCCGGTTTCCTAAGCCGTAGACAACCTACAAAGCCCGTTTTGAAGCTGCCAGTAGACCATCTTCAGTAGTTGCAGAAGTGGATCCTTCACAGGACAAGACTCCTCACTTGCTTCTGGATTCTCTTGGAAAAACAACATTATTTTCCAATCACCATCCAGGAAGCCACTTTAAAATAATTTGTTTTTGTTAACAACTGTATGTTTTTAAATGGTGGTTTGCACCTTTTCCCTGAAGTTCGTCAAAAATCTACATCTGTTTTTCCATCCGAATCACATTCAAGCAGACTGTGTATGGGAGAGTTATACCCAATCCTCTTGAGGATAGATCTCTGTAATATTATGACGATGAAACTAAGTTTGTACTTCTAAAGAAAAGACGCAGCTAAACCTGCTAATTTCTTAGAAAATCGCAGGTTTTAATGTTTCCCATTCCCCATTCAGGATTTGTGTGCCAAGATCCTGCCCAGCGGGCATCAACCCGGCCACTTTATCCCACCTTTGAGTCTTCCAGGCGAAACCCTTTCCAGAAACCTCAGGTAAGCAAATTGAGCAGCGGGGAGCCCAAAGGAGGCTTATTGGAAAGTGGCCACTGATGTAAATGAGTGAGCTGAAGCGCTGTGGGTAGGAGGGCACTCAGGACAGCCTTTGGGGATCATTCTAGACAGCAGGCAGTGGCATTCAGCTGTGGCTGATAGCTTATGCTTTCAGGGCTTTCACACAAACTTACTCTCTGCTTTTTTCTTGTCCTTCTTTTTTCATTATATTTCTTTTTTTCTTTCTCTTTTTAAAAATCATCCTCTTTTTTTCTCAAATTGATACACCCATAAACAGGGCATAGAGAGGGAGCCTACAAATTCTTAGTCATGACTCTGCTACGTTCTTTTTGATCTTCAGACTAGCTTCATAACGAAGATGCTCGATTGGAGTAATATCTTCTCTTCAAAAGACCCCTCAGTGATGATGAGGTGTTGATTGAAGTTAAATGAGATAAATGCCTACAGAAATGTATGCATGTCTGAAACGTCGTTTGATCAAGCATTACTCCCGTCTTTGTGTATTCGGTGTTTTTGTTCCAGTTAAACCAACTAGCTAGTCATTCTGTCTACTCATTCCATCTTCTAATCGGTCCCTGCCTGCCCAGACCTGGCTAGTGTCCACTTCTGTTTCTTTGCCTTTAACATTTTTTCTTACCTAAAAGGTCCACCTTCCTCCTCTCTTCCCATATGGATTGATTGCCTTGCCTGCTCAGAAGTTGGGAGATCATTCTGATTAAATCCATCCCCTGTGTCATGACCTTTACTTTTCATTTCAACATCGTTTACTTGTTCTCTATTGCATTGTTTTGCATTCATTGATTTGTTGCTTTTGAATTGTCCAGTACTCCCCTGCTAGAGTACAAGCTCTTTGAAGGCAGAAACAGGTTCTTCCCCCTCCCTCCTCCCTCCCTTTCCCCTCTCCCCCCTTTCATTCCTCCCTGACCTCTACTTTAGCCCTCCACTCCTCCCTTTTCTCCTCCCACTTGCCTTCCTCCTCTTCTTCCTTTTGCTTGCTGGTCTCATTTAGAGCCGTGCTATTTCTGTTTGCCAAGCTCATATACTATTATATATTCAGATAAATTTTCATTGGAACAAGGTTTGCAAACTCAGATGCCTGTAGGGGCTGCAGGTGGACTATGTAGATAAGTAAATCGGGCCAGGTATAATACAGCTAAGAATGATGTGACAGGTAAACTGGAGAGTGCATGCCTTATGTAAAAAGGGGCATCTGTTTTACTAATGTGCCCTAGCTGATCACTGCCATGTGTGAGTATGAGCCAAGTGTTGTCAGATCTTCTGACTGTCAAGAGAAATCAGAAATCTTATTTTAAAATATTGGCAACTAATTCAATGAAAAAAAATACTATGCAGACATAACATGTCTTTGAGCTGGATTTAGTCTTCGGGCTAGCTATCTGTGACCTCTTGCTCTAAAATTATTCCCTATTAGTATTAGTGTTATGATGTGGAAAATGGTGTATGATATTTTAAAGGGTATTCTCTTGGATTAGAAGTAAAACCAGGCAGCAAAGTTGTGCTTAATCAGTACATCATCACAGATCAAAGAGTTTTCTTTAATTTTTAATACGAAAAGTAGAGGATTAACCAAAGTGTACTAGGGAAACTGGATTTAGGCAATCACATTCCTTTGCAAATTGTCTCCTACAATATCTGTGGTAAGAGCCACAGGATTGCGTATAAAGGATTCTGAATGTTTCTGTGCAGCTTGAACAGAGTTTCTGCCAAGTTTCACCCCAGGGGTAGCTGGATGTCAATCTTGGGTGAATTGATCCCTTTTCTTATTTGCCTGTCAGCTTTTATTGGTGACTCTGCAAGTAGAGAGTCTATTCACTGTTTGTTTTGCTAACTTGTAGGTAACAGCATGACTTCATCCATAAGTCACCTACAGGACACTCACTTAAAGGCTAAAGAAACTGTAGATGAGTTATGTGTGCTGTGTGAAATTTATCAGGTGGAGTAGTAACTTCAGGATCCTCAGACCGTGACACGGGGATTGTGCTCTCAGTGGTGAGAGGATGAGACTGGAATAGAAACACCATAGGAGAAAGCAGTGTGAAAAATAATAAATGCTCTATTCTGCCAAGCACAAAGGGTAGGGCTCTTGCTTTTGGTCTCTGCTTGGAGGTCATTTTTTCCTTTTTTATATTATAAATGTAGGAGTTGGAAAATACAGGTATGTTAGGAGAAGATAAGGCTTTATTCCATTTTTCTGTCTTTTATAGCGTCCAGTATCTGCACAGTTTCAATCATCAGACACCAAACAGGTAAGTTCTGGATCATTTGGAGACTTCATTCAAATTTTTACTTCCATTCCAGATGGAAAGCCTTTTAGCTTCACTCTTTCATGGTACATATTTCATGCACCTGCTTTTTGAACAGTTTAATAACATAGAATATGTGGTAATGGATACACACAGAGGTCTTTTCAGATACAGAATAAAGAGTAGAGATTTCAGGAATTTATGAATCCTTTTTCCTGATAGTGCTTATGCTGTGTTGGAGGCAGTTGAATTTAAATGATGAGCAAGGCTGAGAGGCATATCTATCACTTTGACCAAAATATTCCAGAAAGGAAATATAGTTCACAACTAACCTTTCTTTTGTTCAGACGTCTTATGAAACATAGTATTGTCAGTAGTTTAATAGGGGAAATGTTTTTGCATTAGGTATTGGCTATATTTGAGTTTCTTAGATGATGTTTCTTACGTAGTGATTTGCAGTTTTATGAATCTTAGAAATTCCACGGGAATGCTACCTTTGAAATAAAGACAAAGTATTTTATGTCCATCTCTTAATGATCAGCGTTTGCCCTCTTACTGTTCTTGTTAGCAGTACTTGAGATTAACTGTTGCTTTCTTCTATGCGTGTGAGGGTACTGCTCCTGCTATTTGATGCTTTGATATGAGGGATGTAGATGTTCTCTTATGTAAGTGTGTCACTTGCAACTATTAGTTCTTTAACAAAAAGCTCTATATTTATTTTGGCATTTGTGCTGTCTGATAGTTTCTGGTAAGCTTAGAAGCTTGAATTGTAACTTTCTTAACTAGTGTTTTTTTTTTTTCTTCTTGAGGAAGATTAGCCCTGAGCTAACATCTATGCCAGTCTTCCTCCACCTTATATGTGTGTCGCCACCACAGCATGGCTGATGAGTGGCATAGATCCGCATCCAGGATCTGAACCTGTGAACCCAGGCTGCTGAAGCACAGGGTGCCGAATTTAACCACTACGCCAAAGTGCTGGCCCCCTTAGCTACTGTTTTTGATAAAGTGATTTACGTGGTTTAAAAGAATCCAAGAAATGAAAAAAAGACTTGTCTAGTTGTCTAGTATTTGGTAACTGGTTAATGTGGTTCTGTAATCAAATTTTGGTGTTTATTTTGTAGAATTAAAAACTCTGTAATAGTAGTGTTTTATATTTAGCGAGTACCTAAGTATGCTAGCTGCTCTCCATGACAGAAAAAACAAAAAAAAGGCCGTTAACTTCAAAGAGCTTACATTATAAATATCTCTTGAACTAATCTACTTAAGGAGAATATTAAAAGAACTATTTCATAGCCTGCTAAATTTGACTCCAAAGAAGTGTCTGATACGTAATTCTAATCTCAGTGTCCCTTTACCCATTTTAATTCTGTTACTTCCGGCCCCACTGCTTGAAGTGCCGTAAGTTGCGATAGCCTGTGGACGAGCAAGACTGTCTCTAGTAGTCAGGTATTTGCACACTGCTAACGTGACACAGAGCCTTTCTGGCTTTGTTCAGGCAACTTCATACATGTTGAATTTTTCTATTGTTCTTCGCAATGTTCTCTTTGTCACTGTCTTTCTGTTAATGAAGCACTTTCGACTCCACAGTTGTTTCGTCAGAGCTAAGTGAAAAAAGAGAAGAAATTCTCTGCTCTGGCCATTTAGACTATGTCAGATTTTCTTTTTCTGTTGTTGTCGGATTGTGAAGTCACAATTTTTTACCTGTTCTCTGAGTCTTCCTTTTTAATCCATTATCTCTTTCTACATTTCTCCCTTCCCTTGAATGCCTATGGTTTAAATTTTTCACTCACCAGCAATTACTTTTTAGTGTTCCAAGGCTAGTGGCATGGTTTTGTGGGAAGAACTTGGACTTTAAAGTCAATAGACCTGGGTTCAAATCTGAGCTCTTGCAGTAACCAGCTGTCACACCTTGGTCAAGTTCCCTTACGTCTCTTAGGCCACTTCCCACATCTGTCACATGAGGATAATAATACATATGTGGTGAGAAAGAAATGATAAAACCTAGGTAAATATTAGGGATGGTTCTGGAGCCATAGTTTATCCCCAGAAGATTTAGTCCCTTTCACACTTTGAGTCCTATTTTGATTTTCCTTGTTCTGTTGTCAGTATGTGCTGTTATTTTGATATTCATTTATCTGTAGTCATGTTTTTTCACATTTGCTTACATCCACAAATGCAAATTAACTAATTAGTTAATTTAGTTATTCATCCTCCCAGACAGTAATGAAGATTCTAAATAATGCTTAATCAGTACCCATTCCTGAAATCACTTCCTAACTTGATTCACTGCTATTTATCTTATCCTCTAGTTACACCTTTCAACTGTTTTCAGTTTTTATTGGTGTATTTTATTCATTATATCATGACACTAAGCCCTGATTGGAAATATAATTAAGAATAAAAGTTTGATGAAATTTTCACAAGTGCTCTAAAATCCAAAGACATTAAATATATTCGCTATATTCCCCTTTTTTGTCATTTTGTCCTAAAAGTAAAAATTTTAAAGCATGTTTTAAAATAATTAAAGCAGTCTCTATCCTACTGTTCTTCATGAGCCCATTAGACTCTAAATGTTTATGGATTTTTTTCTTTTAATATTTGTTCCGTTATTTTACTAGGGATTCGAGTTAGACTTGCCAGGCGGTAATCACCAGGAGCATACTTCTTACATTTTTGAAGATTGCTACCCCATTTGTTTTTTTCTAATCCTCTGGTACCTCCTCAGTTCTTCATGATTTTTCAAACATAATTGTAAGTGGTTTTGGTAAGTTTTTTTTGTTTTTAAAGCCATTTCCCTTAATAACAAGATGCATGTCTCTCAGACCTGCTGACTTACATTTATTCCAAATTTCCAGATGTTGCATCTCCTTTTTTACTGTAACACAAACCTACTTACTTGCTTTTTTTTCCCCCTAATTTCAGAGTATGCTTTTGGTTATCATTATATTTAAACCTTCTCTATTAGCCATTTTTTGTTTATTTCTCCCCAGATTTATTCACATGTGATCCTTTTGTTCATTTTCTTTCATTTGATAGCATTAATTCATTTTGCTTTTTAAACTTGACTTTAGCTTTTATTTTATAGATGGCAAGATGCATCACATACAAATTGAGCTATTTCTAGTTAATTTGTTTTTGACACAGAATTCCAAACTTTGTAGAACAGGATGTGTTCTCTGTCAAACAGATTTTATTTTTGCCCCTCAATTATAGTATCTTTTAGAATACCTCACCTTTTTCATATTCTACATTTTGCTCAGTTCTTCTCATACTGGTACTTTCCAAATTTCTTTAGGCTGAGAATCTTGCTTCTGATTCCACATCTGTTTCTTACTGCTTTGAGTGGGGACAGGTGGTTGCTTGTCTCAATAATTTGACATTCTCAGTCCTTCCCTAGCAGTGAAGGTTAGATGTGTAAAGGTTTCTTCTCTGGGTGTATTTCTGAAACATAAGTTGTACTAATGATAATTTAACATCTTTGGTGCATGTTGTGTGGCAGAATTCTTACCTGCACAGTAATTTGGCAGTTTAAAGTCTTTCTGGGCACCTAGTGGTTGAAATTGTGTGTCATCCAGCCAGACGCAGTGGTTCTCTTTGAGTTCAGAGGAGCTTTATTTCCTTGGTGCCTCCAGTCAATTCATTAGAATATGTGGATTTATTGTATCTATCTCCCAGGGAATGTCGCTGAGCTGATATGCCCAAAGTCAAAACCACAGAATGGCCTGCGTTTGGACTGTTTTGTTCTTGTTTTTGACAGCACTGATGGCCATTCAAATCAGTCTGATTCCTTTTTTCTTTTACTTTGCTTTTAATCTCCAGGTATGTCTCATTGGCACTTATAAGCATTTCTATTTTCTTTCTTTCTTTGTTCTCTTTTCTTTTCCCGTTTTCTCTCTGCCTTTTCTCTAACCTATATGTATAATTCAGGCCATATTCCTTAATAGTTCGTTTCATTGATTAATGTGGGTAGGATTCAACCAGTGGTCTAGGAAAGTAATGCTTTATTGTTCCTGTAAAAATACATTTCTCTGTAAACCAGTACAGCAGATACTATGTTGATGAAAAAAATTTTCTCTGGTCTCAAATTTATTGAAAAGCTGAGATTGGCAAAATACTTTTTCTAGTCTGATATTTTCCAGGAGCTTCCCCAAAGACGCAGAAACCTGGGTGGATTTTAGAGAGGCATTTGAGACACCGTCGCTACAGCAGCTACAACTTTTCACCTCTCTCCTTCTCAGCCTTCTCGATAGTTTAGATTGAAATAAAGAAGTGAAGAGATTAAAGGAGTTTCTAGGCACATTCTTTCTCCTTGGAGTGGCATTGACCTTTTCTTTGCAGCCTGGTGATATTTGTGGCATTAAAAGAGTGAAGCCATTAGCCTATGGGAGTTAACAGCTGGGGCATTCAACTAACAAGCACTATTACACTTCAGCCCCTTCCTTTTTCAAACCACCCAAACGCCCTGGCCAGGAGCACCTGCCTGAATTCCTACATGCCCCACCCACACAGCCCACACGTATGCACGCAGTAGCTAGAGTTAGAATTGTGGGCTGTGAGTAACAAAAGAATGGTTGTGAATGTGTATGGGAGACAACTCTTTGAAAGTGACTAGGAGAGAAGGTTGAGTTTTTGGGTGCTAGTTCATTGTTTACGGGAGCAGGTTTAGATTAGTAGAGGAAAGTTGCAACATAATTATATTCTCAATCTCAGGAAGCCAGGAATGTCATGCTATCATGAAGCAGTTTCACAAAGATGAAAATTGGGTTCTTGAAAAGCAAAAAAAAATTAAGATAAAGAGATAAAAAAGAAAAATAAGAAACAAATAAGAAAACATAAATAAAAATTTAAAAACCAGACAAAAAAATGAACAAAAACAAAAAGACAACACCAAAAAAAATTTGGAAAACAAAAATTGAGGTGCTCATTAGATGTTATTCACTGTTGGCGTGACCGTGTTATAAATATGACCATGCATTCCTTAAAACTGTTCCAATAGGTAATAACTATTTCTTAAAATAGTTTTATTATTAACCTTTTAATACAGATTTTAGTTTATCAACACTTCTAAAATTTTTTCTATTGTAAAATGCTTAATTGTTATTTTGATTACATCATTTAAATGGGTGCTTACTTCGTACTCTCTTCTTACATAATTTCAGAGGTCTTTAAGATACTCGTAAAGAGTGTAGGTGATAAGGCACCTTAACTTTGGAGGATGTACTGCTGGTGGCTTTCTGCTCAGAGCCATGTTGTTACACGTAAAGTAGATAAGTATTTTTAGCAAACAGTAAGTAGTGTGTGAAAATGAGAAAAGCCCTCCAAGCATCCATTTGTATTTTGGCTTTTCCAAATTATACATTAAATAAGCATTCCCACTTTCAATTTTTTTTTAATGATTATATTACTCATATTGATTACCTTCCTAAATCTTTAAACTCTCCTCTTGATTCTCCTCTCATTCCAACACATACTGTTGAATGTATTCCCAGGAATTGGAAGGGAGTTAAAATTTTTCCCAAAATCCTCTGCAGAGTTTTATTCTAACCATGATTGATCTGTGTGTCAGCACATTCATTCATTTGTTTATTTATTCAACAAATATTTATTGATCTCCTATCCCATGCCAAGTACTCAACTGGATGCTGCAGATTCCACAGGGAAAGCTAAGCAGATCAGGTCTCTGCCTTCACATGTTGCTTATATCTGCTGACTTCATGATTTTTCTTTATATGGGTCTCCCATCCTGGAGTTGCCTATCAGAAAATCTATTTTTTTAATAACTCCCATGCTAGCTTTGAAGATTGGTGTGTATTGGTCTCCCTTGTGTCCAGAGGTAAAACCATTCATGGTTATTTGTGTACACGGGTGTATTCGTTGGCTTGGGCTGCCATAAAAAAATACCGTAGACTCGGTGGCTTAAACCACAGAAATTTATTTCTCACAGTTCTGGAGGTTGGTAAGTCCAAGATCAGGGTGCTGCCAAGGTAGGTTTTGTTCTGGGGCCTCTCCTCTTGGCTTGTAGGTGTTCACCATCTGGCTGTGTGCTCACATGACCTCTTCTGTGTGAATACTTGGGCCGAGAGAGTGTGCAAGCTCTCTAGGGTCTCTCATTTTGAGGGCACTGATCCCGTCAGAGCAGAGCCTTACCCTCCTGACCTCATCTAACCCTAATCACCTCCCAAGACCCTCATCTCCAAATACCATCACATTGGTGGTTAGGGCTTCAACATATGAATTTGAGGGGACACAGACATTCAACCCATAGCAATGGGTATTGCTGAAAAGGTCAAAAGTTAATTACCAAAATGCCTTCCATAGGTAATCTACACAAAGAGAAAAAATAAACAATAGCTCCTGACAATGGGGATGCTTCTCACTGGTCAGTGTTATGTCTTGGAATTGAAAATGACAATTTACATCCACATTTCTTGAATTATTTCTTATTCTTCCATACTTGGCAGATTTGTCTTATCAGTTACTTCATCTGTTTCAATAATAGTATATTCTCTTGCTTCATACCTGACTTCCCTTGTTACCTTTATATTTCCGTGCTTTCATAACATCAAACTCACTTAAAACTTCTGTTCCCAGATGACTTTCCTCATCGTCATTCAGACGGTGAAACAGCCCAGATCATCTCTGGGGATCCCTGATGAACAAGGCACATTTGGCTGCCTTCTTGGAGTACCCAGGGCAGTCTTTCTTGATTGAGTTCTCTTGAAGTCCAGCAGCCACAGTATTTCTCAAGTTGTAGCCTTTTAGTCACAGCTCTTTTCTCTGTCACTGATGACTCTCCTCTCAACATTCCCCCCCTCAAGTTCTGAAACATCCCACAGCCCAGCTTTTACATCGGTGGCTTAATAGATTGCTCCTTGGTTTTCTGTCTTATGTCTCAGTTCTTCTAACTCTCCTTCCCCAGTGCTGAAAAGAATTTGGTTATTTACTGAAGTAAATACACACTTAATTTTATATTGAGGTTATTTTCAGATTTTATTCCATATCCTTGAAAATATTACGTGTACTCTAAACCAGGATTAGAAGTATGTACTAGCTTAGAAAGCCACATGGACATCTTTTTTTTTTTCTACTTGTTTCTCTCAACCCATAGTGTTTTCCTCCTATTCTGTTTTCTCATCTTGCCTTTGAGTTTACTAGCTTTCATCTGTTTCCTAGGGTTTGAGGCTAAGAGATTAATTACAGAAAATGGGCTTTGGATTTGAGCTTATATGTATTAGGAAATAATGATGTTGAGGGACTGAACAGAAGGAAATGAAGAGAGATGGTGAAAACTTTTGCTTGTTTTTGTTTTCCTTCTCCTTAGCGTTCCCGTCCACTCTCTGCCAGTGATGCGGAAATGAAAAACCTTGTGGGTTCAGCCCGGGAGAAGGTGCCGGGGAAGTTAGGTGGTTCTGTGCTCGGTCTGTCAATGGAGGAGGTAAAGATAACTCCCTTTCAGGCCTCTATGGGTTAACACAGGGTTCAGTGAAAATTAATGAGTCATTCCTAACATTCATGACCAACTCGTATCTTAGATCGAAAAGAGAAAAATTCAAGATGGGAGAAATTTCTTCTCAGAAGACAGCATCTTAAATGGAATTAATTCCTCCCTTCGTGCTGCTCTCATATTCTTAGGTCATAACTCTCTTGCTCTGTCCTATAATCACATGGATTCCAGTGTTCAAAATAGATACTCATTTTATTTTATTTTCTCTTCCTTCATGTAGATCAGAGTTTTACGAAGAGTGAAGGAAGAGAACGATCGGAGAGGTGGATTTATTCGCATATTCCCTACATCAGAGACATGGGAAATATATGGGTGAGGTGACTACCTTTTTTTATTAGATCTGTACCTTAGGTCCATAGAATTGGATTAATTGTGACACAGTGTTGTCACTGCTCCCCATTTGCTGCCTTTCTTACTGTTTATTCGTTTATAATAGTATGAATGTTATCCAACTCAAGAACTAGAGCTCTAACACTAGTTTAATCTACTTGTGCATTATTCCTCTCTCTTTTTGAATCCCCTCACTCCCTCCTAACTAGTCCCCTAACCCCTAACAGAGTAGACACTGTCCTAAATTTTGTGGTTATCATTACCTTGATTTGAAAAAGAAAATTGTTTTATCATCTGTGTGTGTGCCTGAACAATATATTGTTTACTTTTGATCATCATTGAGATCTTGTTTATGTGCAATTAAATGCATCCATTTTAAGTGTACAGTTTGATGAGTTTTGACAAATATGAACACCCAGTATAACCACCACCATCACCACAATCAAGATGCAGAACCCTTCCATCACCTCTGGTCTGTGTGTGTGTCTTGATTACTGGAGCTTTTATACTGAGTCTTGAAATTAGGTAGTGTGAGTCTTTCAACTTTGTTCTTTTTCAAAAGTATTTTGGCTATTTTGTGTCCTTTGTATTTCAAAGAAATTTTAGAATTTGTCAATTTCTGCACAAAGGCTGATGGCTTTTGATTGGGATTGCAGTAAGTGTATAGATTAATTTTGGGAGAGTGGATGTTTTAACAATATTGAACTTTCCAATCCATGAGCATGATGTATCTCTCCATTTATTTAGCTCTTCTTTGATTTCTCTTACCAATCTTTTATAGTTTTCGGTGTAAAGGTCTTGAACATGTTTTGTTAAATTTGTCACATAGTATTTCATGCTTTTGAATGATGTTGTAAATGTTATTTTTTAACAGCTTTATGGAATTATAATTGACATACTGTAAGTTGCACATATTTAAAGTGTACAATTTGATAATTTGTAACATATGCATATATCCATGAAACTACCACCACAATCAACATAATGAACATACACATCACCCCCAAAAGGTTCCTTGTGCCCCTTTGTAATTCATCTCTCCTACCCCTCCCTTCCCTGCCTATTCCTGTCCCCAGGCATCTGTTGATCTGCTTTCTGTCACTAAAGATTAATTTGCATTTCCTAGAATTTCATATAAATTGAATTCAACAAGTTGTTCTCTTATTTGGTCTTTTTTACTTGGCAAAATTTTTTTTATATTCATTTGTGTTGTAGCATATATCAGTGGTTTAATTCCTTTTTATTGTTGAGTAGTACTCTATTGTGGGCATATACCAGAATTTGTTTATCCTTTTATCTGTTGATGAACATTTGGGTTGCTTCCAGTTTTTGGTTATTACAAATAAAGCTTCCGTGAACATTTATATACAAATCTTTGTATAGACATGCTTTCATTTCTCTTGGGTTAATACCTACTTGTGGAATGACTGAATCATATCACATATATGTTTCACTTTTTAAGAAACTGCCAAATAGTTTGCTAAAGTGGATGTGCCATTTTGCATCCCCATCATGAGTGTATGAGAGTTCCCGTTCCTCCACATCCTCACCAACGATTGGTATGGTCGTTTTTAATTTTAGCTCCTCTAGGAAGTGTGTAGTGATATCTCAGTATGGCTTAATTTGCATTTCTCTAATGACTAATGAAGTTGAGCATCTCTTCACATGCTTATTTCCTCTTTATATATCTTTTTTTTTTGAGGAAGATTAGCCCTGAGGTAACGTCTTTGCCCATTTTCCTCTACTTTCTCTCTCAGCAGTGTTTGTGGTGTTCAGTGGACAGGTCTTTTACATCTTTAGTCAGATTTATTCCTAAGTGTTTAATATGTTTTGATGCTATTTTAAATGATATTGTTTCGTTAATTTCAATTTCTGATTGTTTGTGGCCTAGTGTATAGAAACACATTTGGTTTTTGCATATTGATTTCATGTCCTACAGTCTTGCTAAATTCCGTTATCAGTTATAGAAGGTTTTTGGAGATGTTGTTGGACTTTTTTTACCTAGATGAAAATGTTTTCTGTGAATAAAGACTTTTCTTTTCAATCTGAATGCATTTTATTTCTTTGTTCTTGCTTGATTACACTGGCAAGAACCTCCAGCACAGTGTCGAATAGAACTGGTGAGAGCAGACGTCCCTGTCTTGTTCCTGATCTTAGGGGAGGCGTTCAGTCATTCACCATTAAGTCTGATGTCAGCTGTAGGTTTTTCATGATGCCCTTTATCAGACTGAGGGAGTTCCCTTCTCTTCCTCCTTTGCTAAGAGTTTTTATCAGAAATGGATGTTGGATTTTGTCAAATGCTTTTTCTGAATCTCTTGAGATAATATATGGTTTTCTTTTTTGGTTTGTTAATATAGTGAACAACATTGATTTTTGAATGTTAAACCAACATTGCATTCCTTAAATAAGGCCTACTTGGTCATGATATATTATCCTTGTTGAATTTGGTTTGCTTAAATATTATTTAGAATTTTTACATCTGTGTTCATGAGAGATACTGGTTTGTAGTGTTCTTATAATGTCTTTGCTTTCACCATGAGAGTAGTGTTGGCCTCACAGAATAAGTTGGAAAATATTCCCACCTCCTCAATTTTCTGCAAGTTTATGGTATTATTTATCCCTCGATAGTTTGGCAGAACTCACTGGTGAAGCCATCTGGACAGAGTTCACTTTCAATTTCTTTAACAGATATAGGGCTATTCAGATTATCTATTTCTACTTGGATGAGCTTCGGTGATTGGTGCCTTTTAAAGCATTTGTCCATTTCATCTATGTTGTATTTATAAGCATAGAATTGTTCATAATATTCTTTTATCCTTTTAATATCTGTAGAATCTGTAGTGATGTTACCTCTCTCATTTCTGATATGGGTAGTTTGTTTCTTCTCTCTTTTTATGCTATTTAGCCTGGCTAGAGGTTTATCAATTTTATTGATCTTCTAAGAGACTCAGTTTTTGGTTTCATTGTTTTTTCTATTTCTAGTTCCTTGACTTCTACTCTAAAATTTATTATTTCCTTTCTTTTACTTCCTTTGGGCTTCACTTGCTCTTTTTTCTTTTTTTGTTTTTTCTAGTTTCTTTAGGTAGAAGCTAAGGTCATTGATTTGAGACCTTTCTTCTTTTCTATGTAAGTGTAGTGCTATAAATTTCTTACTAAGTGCTGCTTTTGCAGCATCCCACAAATTTTGGATTGTCATATTTTTGTTATTCTCTTTAAAATACTTTCTAATTTCCCTATTAATTTTATCTTTGGCCCATCGGTTATTTAGAAGTGTGTTATTTAGTTTTCAGATATTTGGGAGTTTTTCTAGAGATCTTTCTGTTAGTGATTTCCAGTTTACTTCTGTTGTGCTCAGAGAACATACTTTGTCTAATTTGAATTTTTTAAAATTTACTGAGACTTGTTTTATAGTCTGGAATATCGTTTATCTTGATAAATGTAACGTGTACATTGAAAAGAATGTATATTCTGCTGTTGTGTAGAGTGTTCCGTAAATGTCCGTTAGGTCAGGGGGTTTGACAGTTTTGTTCAGATCTTCTCTATTTTTACTAATTTTGTCAATTATTGAGACTCTGGTGTTGAAATCTTCTATTATACTTGTGGACTTGTCAGTTTCTTCTTTCGGTTCTGTCATTTTGCTTTTCATGGATTTTGGACCTCTGTTATTAGGTACATATGCATTAGATTTGTTATGTCTTCTTGATAAATTCACTTCTTTATTGCTACAGAATGTCCTCTTTATCCCTGGTAATGTTCCTTGTCCGTAAGTCTGCTTATCTGCTGTAATATACCCACTCCAGCTTTCGGTGACTAGTGTTTGTATGATATTTCTTTTTCCATTGTTTTACTTTTAGTCTGTCTGTGTCTTTATATTTATTGTGGATTTGTATAAAAGAAAAAATTCCTGCCATTTGCAGCAACCTGGATGAACCTGTAGGGATAATGCTAAGTGAAACAAGCCAGAGAGAGAAAGACAAAGAGTGTATAATCTCACTCATATGTGGAATTGAAAAAGAAAAGTGGAACTCATAGAAACAGAGAGTAGAATGGTGTTCAAGGGGCTGGGGTGGGGGACATAGGAGATGCTGGTCAAAGGTACAAACTTCCGGTGATAAGATGAACACGTGCTGGGACTCTGGTGTGCAGCATGGTGATGTGGTCGGGTTAAAGGTGCCGCATTACTATTTGTTTTCTTTTGTCCAGTGTGTTCTTTGTACTCCTTTTGTTTTCTCCTGCCTTCTTTGCATGAATTAATGTTTCATGCCTCTTTGTTTTGCCTTTTTTTTTTTTTTAGTGTGGTTGCTTTAGGGTGACAATATGCATCTTCTTATCACAGTGTACCTTAAAATAAAATTATACTACTTGACGTATTATTTAGGAATTTTACAAACAATATACTTCCATTTCCCTCTCCTGTGCTTTGTGCTGTTATTGTCATACATTTTACTTCTATATAAGTGTATGTTATAAATCCCACAGCACATTGTTACTTTTCCTGTGAACAGCGTAATTTAAGGAAATTTAAATATGAGAAAAAGTCTCTTATTGTACATATATACTACCATTTCCATTGCTGTCCTTTTGCATTGATCCAGGTTTTCATCTGGTATCATTTTCTTCCATCTGAAGAACTTCTTTTAGGATTTGCTGTAGTGCAGTGAATTCTCTCAACTGTTGTTTGTCTGAATAAGTTTTTCTTTGACTTTCATTTTTGAAAATTTTTTCACTGATTATAGAATTCTAGGTTGACACTTTTTTCCCCCAGCACCTTAAAAATGTTGTTCCTTTATCTTCTGGCTTGCATTTTTCTGATGAGAAGCATACAGTAGTTCTTATCTTTGTTCTTCTGTAGGTAACGTGTCTTTTTCTCTCAGCTTTTAAGATTATTTCTTTATGACTGATTTTCAGCAGTTTGACTAGGACATATTGCCCTGGTGTCATTTTCTTCATATTTCTTCTGCTTGGGATTTGTTGAGGTTCTCGGTCTATGGGCTTATAGTTTTCATCAAATTTGGAAAACTTTTGGCCATTATTCAAATATTTTTTCTGTTTCCCTTCTCTCCTTTCTCCTTTTGGGACTCTGGTTACATGATAAATTGGTTGATATTGTCCTACAGGTCTGGCTCTGTTCATTTTTTTTAGACATTTTTCTTTCTTCATTTTGGATGGTTTTTTATTTCTCTGTGTTTGTAATTTCATTCAACATTTCGTCTGCAGTGTCAAATCTTCTATTAATTCCCTCCAGTGAAATGTTCATTTCAGAGTTTTATTTTTCATCTTTAGAATTCCCATGTTTCCTCTATATCTTCTTTTTATTTTTTCATTATTTTCATGATTTCCTTTAGATCCTTGTGCATATATTATTTATAGTAGCTGTTGTAAAATCTTTGCTTATTCTGTTATCTCCATCATTTCTGAGTCTGTTTCTATTGACTTATTTTCCTCTTGTGTATGGGCTGTATTTTTCCTGTTTCTTTCTTCACACATACAGTGATTTTTTTTTAATTGGATGCTGGACAATGAAATGTTCGATTGTTGAGTGTTTTGATTTTCTTGGGTTCTTTAAACCCTGTTGAAGGTTTTTTTGGTCAGACACTTAAGTTGCTTGTAGATTAACTTAATCTTTTTCAGGTTCCTTTAAAAGTGTTTTTATGGTTTATTTAGATTAGCTTTTTGTTTAGTTCTAGGGTAGTTCCACTACTAAAGACTCTTTTGGGGTGTCTGTTAAACGAACACATAGTCAATGAGATCTCTGCATTCTGGCTGGTGGGGATTCAATTCACAGCCCTGTGTGAACTCTGGAAAGTATTCAGCTTATGCTTTCTCCTTAATATTCTTTCCCCTGGCAGTTGCTCTTTGCCCAGCCTTGTAGACTTTCACCCTATGCCTGAGCAGAGTTGTATTCACCCAAAGCTCACAGAGTCCCTTTGATGATTTTTGGATTTCTTCTTGTGCATAGTTTCCTCCACTCCAGTACATTGCTCTGAAAATTGTAGCTACTTCCTAGAACTGTGATCTCTGTCATCTCAACTCAGAGACTCTTGGGCTCTACTGAAATTCCCTCTCTCTCTGCAGAGTCTGGAAATTGCCTCTAGGCAGAAAGGTAGAACAATCAGAAGGCTCACTTTAATTTATTTCCCCCTTTCAGGCATCACAGTCCTGCACTGCTAGTTGTTTAGTGTCGTGAAACAGTTGTTTCATATATTTTGTACACATTTTTAGCTGTTTCTGGTGGAAAGGCAAGTCGTATAGGAGTTATCTTCTCATTAGTAGAAGCAGAATTCTCTTTAGTTTTAATTGCTTTTGAACTTTTTCTAAATAACAGTGGCATACTGTATGTACTCTTGCTTTTTTCATTCAATGTTATGTTAGTAAGTTTCATATTTTTACCTGTAGCTATAATTCATTCTTTTTCACCGCTTTATTATATTCTTCTGTGTGTTTATACTGCTGTTATGTTTTCCATTATCCTGTTGATGGTATTTGACTTCTTTCTGGTCTTTTGCTGTTAAAGACAGCTGTGCTGTAAATATTCTTGTATGTGTCTCCTGGGTGTATATGGAATGGAATTACTGAACCATAAAATATGCGAATGTTCAACTGCAAAAAATAAAGCTAAACAAAAAGATAATGCTAAATTGTTTTCCAAAGTGACTGTAAATTTACACTCCTGTCAGCAAAACCTAAGAGATCCTGTTGATTTATATCTTCTGCGAGATGTGCTACTGTCAGACTTCTTAATTTTTGTCAATCTGTTGAGTGTAAAATGATATCTTATTTTGGTCTTGATTTGCGTTTCTCTGATTACCAGTAGGGTTAAGAATCTCTGTACTTGTTTATAGGTAACACATTTTTCTTCCTCTGGTGACTGACTTTTGGTCTAGTTAGAATATTAGTGGTTCTAAGTATAGAGCTAGAACTTAGAGGAAGAAAGAACCAGTTTATTGTTTGGGGTTTCTTTTGTTTTGTTTTGCAAACCCAGCTGTTCATAGAGAAATCTTCCTTTTTTCTTGCAAAATATCCTATCCATGTAGTTGCACTTTATAAAGACCTAGGAATTCAACAGAAAGATATTACTTGGGTTTTCTTCAGAATTAGATAGAAGTGTATCTTTTGATATGTTTTTGAAGAGTTTTAATATTTGCAGTTCCTAGAAAACATATATTTTAGTTAACAAAAGTGGACCCTTCGCTCTTGAGTAGTTCAAGAGGTGGGACCTTAATTTGAGTGCCTTTTCCTAAGGAATCAATTACAGGTAATCTTGGAGTCTCTCAAGGAGTCCAATAATGATACCCTACTTCACTGGTTTGGTTCTGAACCAATGGAGAAATAAGACAAAGGCTAAGATAGATGGAGGCCAAAATGTCACCTTCCTTTCTGATTAAGTCCAGGTTGGAAGACTTGGTTATATCTATTTGCAAGCAAATGTATTTTCTATTGAACTGCAGAATTGGACAGATTTACATGCCCATGTGTAGGCCAGGTTAGAGTGGGCTGTGTGTGGGGAGCACCTGACCCTATAGGAGCAGCTGTGGATGTGTGCTTCCTAAGGGGCAATTGTCTCTCAAGAGGAGGAAGAGAGATACTCATTGAAGCCTGTTCTGTTTCTTCTTCCTAAATTACCAATCCAGTAAGTCATTCTGCCTCCCCTCTGAGGCCTCTGAGAAGAGAGGCAAGAGAGGCCAAGAATATTAAACCATTTCAGCTCCCTTCACGTAGAGTGAGGGATGTGTTAATCTACTAACAAATATGCCTTTTTATTAATATACTGAGCATTAACCAAGTGTCCAGCACCACCCTTGGTGTTTTGGAGTATAAAACAAATATTAGATGGGATCTCTGCCCTTTGAAAGTTAACAGTATGATTACAGAGAAATTATTTATACATATAATAAAAATAGCTCGTATTTGTATAGCTCTCTGTAATGTACTTTCTACATAACGTTATTCCCATTTTAACGATAAGAAAAGTAAGGCTCAGGAACGTAATGTGACTTGTCTATAATCACACGGTGCGACTTGATTCAGGTATTCTAATTCCAGATTCTGCTTCTTTCCTGTTTCATCATGCTGCTTTCTGAGAAGAAAAATTTTAGTCTATGAAACCGTGTGTGGCAGGTCCCTCAGGCATCCAGTAAAAGCCGGGGGGTTCAGACAGGGCATCTCTATAGACTCGGGCAGTCATATCAGGGAAGGTGTCGTGCAGCAGGTGGACTTCAGCTGCTTCTTGCAGGATGGATTATGGGTAAGTAGAGAGGGTGTGAGGAGAAGGTGTCCAGCAGAGGCCGAAGAAATAGTGGGAGGTGTGGTGTGAGAGTATTCTAAGACTTGTCTGGCTGTACTGCAGGATCCCTGTTGGGGAACTGTGTGGAGAAAGTGTGAATGAATTGGTGGTATAGATTTCCCAACTTTGGAAGGCTCGGAAGAGAAAGTGTATGCCTCCTGCATAAGGCATCAAGGAGCCATTCCAAGCTCTTGAGAAATAACATGATTGAAGCGATCTTCTGTGTATGTTTCCATGCCCTTTAGGCATCTTCCATTCCCAGCTTTATTTGACTTTTTTCCTAGCTATATATGATTTTTGGTCATTGTTTTGTTTTTATCTTCCAGTTTTATTTTCTGAGTTCAGTATATCACCTTTTATTAATCCAAGAAAATGTCTTTTCTTTCTGTTTTCTAAATTAAGTCTTCTATTTATTCTTTTCATGTTATTGTGTTTGCTGCTACTCTACTGTTTTATCCTTTTTTTTAAGACTGGCACCTGAGCTGACAACTGTTGCCAATATTCTTCTTCTTTTTTTTTATTTCCTGCTTTATCTCCCCAAATCCCCCCTGTACATAGTTGTTTATCTTAGTTGCAGGTCCTTCTAGTTGTGGCGTGTGGGATGCCACCTCACCGTGGCCTGATGAGCGGTGTCGTGTCTGCGCCCAGGATCCGAACCAGCAAAACCTTGGGCTGCCACAGCAGAGCACGCAAACTTAACCACTCGGCTGTGGGGCTGGACCCCTGTTTTATAATTTTAATTTGAGCAACTGTCTCCTCCTTTGCCACTTTAAAGACACTGTATTTCTTTAGAAACAGTATATAAGTAACCTGTCACTTCTGTGCTTGATTCATGGTTTTATTTCTATGTTTTCTCTTTTAAGCTAAGCTTAAGGAATAACCAGTTGCTTTCTTTGTCTTGCAGGTCCTACCTCGAACACAAGACCTCCATGAACTATATGCTGGCAACACGGCTCTTCCAGGACAGGTGGGGATTTGCTAATCTTATCAATTTAGTGAAACTAGATCAGAAAATTAGGAGAAAGTACATGCACAAGAAGGAAGGAGGCTTTATAAAAGTCTTCAGTAAAATCTGTGATAGAAAGGGCCTAGCAGAAAACACAATAAAATATCTCATTTTTTCAGAATTCATTAACTCTCAGCACTTTGTAATATTTCCAGAGGCCACAAATTAAACCAGAAAGATCTTTAAGCAATTTGACAGATGCCCTAAACTTTATTCTTCTTAAAGGAAAGCCCTTACTCAGTACCTTTTTACTTTAGACATAATTTTAATGGACATGATCATCTGTTTTTCTAGACTAGAAGAGATTAGAATGATCAGATTACAGAAAGTAGAGGGGAGGTAATTCACAAAATAAATACAGTGAAAGTTGTAAGAAAGGACAGCTGATAACCTTAACACAAGGGAAAACAGGGGAAAATGATGGAAAACAGACGCTGGAATTCAAATAGCACAGCAGTCAGGCACTGCCTAGTCTTGTTACACCTGGGACATGACTGCATCACAGTGCAGTTCATAACTGACTAACAAAATAAGGAACCTTAGTTATTTTGAGGAATCTATATTATTTTCAGAAGATATGTACTTTTTTGTGGGTTTCTTAAAATAGATGCCCAGATTTCATCTATTTCTTGCAATCTATCATCTGTTATTGGGAAATATATGGAATTTGCAATTTCTCTCTTTAAATCTGTGGTTATTACCCATGATAAAGTAGCTGCAATGTGTAGTTTCTATGAAAGAAATCTTCAGATTTACTTAGAAGATACAGGAACTCAGTTCTTTATATATAATCTGCCCCCCGCCCCAGAAACTTTTACAAGGTTCCTTTATCTTTAAAGTTTAGATATTTTGCCAGGATGTGCTCTGGTGTGTTACCTTTCATTATTTTGGTTTTGCGGTGGGTGAGTCCTTTCAGTCTGAAGATTTAGGTCTTCCAATTGTGGGGAATATTCCCTTCATCCTCTCTTTCGTCTCCTTGTGGAACTTCTGTTAGATGAATTTTGGATCTTTACTATATCGTTCATGTTTCTTTACTTTTTTCTCATACTTTTGATCTTCTTGCCTCTTAGCTTTAACTTCTGGGAGGTTTCTTGAACTTCGTCTTCTCAAACTCTCAGTTGATCTTCAGCCCTATCTTTTATTATTCAGCACCAGCAGAGGAGAGAGTTGTTGGATTTACTTTTTTTTATTTTGGCAAGTATGGTTTTAATATCCAAGTACTATTTTTGCTTTCTGACTAGTTTTCATAGATTAAGGATGTAATATTAAAATGATTCTGGTACCAATTCCAGGGGTGGGGGCAGGTTTCTTCCACAGAACCAAGCAATTGCACCTTTCTGGTGTCTGAGAATTCACCTCAACTCTAATGCTATCTACCTGGAGATTAGCATCAGATTCCACAGTTTAAGTGTTTAGTCCTACAAGACTCCCGCCCCACCCCCCCCACCCCCTCACCTCGCCACTTCAGTTGCAGTTTCCAAGCCTGGGTTGTCACCTGTATGTCTGACTGACTGGCTAGAGTGGAGGTTCCAACGAGCCCCCTTTTTGGACTTCAATTCAGACATCAGTCGAAAGTCTAGATTGTTACCTGTACTTCTGACCAACTGTCTATAAATCAGAGGTTCCCACAACTCCCTCCCTGGCTTCGATTAACTTTCTAGAGTGGCTCATAGAACTTAGAGAAACATTTTACTTACTAGATCACTCGTTTATTATAAAAGGATGTACCTTAGTAACAGCCAGATGGAAGAGATGCATACGGCAAGGTATGGGGAAAGGGCCCAAAGAAATTTTTTTGTTGTTATATTCCTACTAGGAGAATGCTTTATTCAATAACAAGACCTAGTAGTTGGTCTAATAATGACCATAGTTTTAAAAGTATGATAAGTCTTGGCCATGTTTTACAGACATCTGTAACAACTTGAAAGTTAAATGGAAAAGGTGTGTTATTTCTTTTGGTAACAAAATCACACTTATACTACTGTGGATGGTTTCCTACACGTATATGAAGGAAATGCTAAATATCAGTTAGAGGATTAACTTTGTTCTATCCAAGTTGGTATATTCCCTGAATTCTTTCTTCAGGTCCCAGTAACAACTCTGCTTATAAAGCATTCTAAAAACTTTGATTAAAAAAATCTGAATTTCCCTGTTTAGCAAAGAAAGTCCCTCATGGTTTACTTTTGCCTACCTTTTTAGTCTAATCTCTACTTTTCCACACCAACCCATGGCCAGTCAGACCATGTCTACTTGCTTTTTCATGCCTCCGTATCCTTACATACTCCCCATCCCTTGGAATGGCCTTCAGTCCGTCCCTAAATTCTTCTAGCTATGTCCTTCATCCTCTTACCCAGACTAGGAGGAGGTTCTCCCAGTCCTTCTCATCCCTCAGTCTGATTTAGATTCCCATATTGTATCATAATGGCCTTTCACTACTCTACTTTACTCGTTGGCTTTTAAGAGTAGGCACTTTGTTATGTTCATCTGTGTCAGTATCAAGAACCTACCCCATGGTAGGCACACACAGAAAAGCATGCATTGAAAACATGAAATTGTGTTTGTTGCTAGCCTTGACATCTTTTAGTAAGTTTGTTCTCTTCAATCTGAATTGATGTTTTTTCTCTTGCAAATCTCGTTGTATTATTGTCAACATTACTTTCAAACTAATTCTCCGATCATTTCTTTTAGGTTAATTTTGTCTGCTTTCTCTGCCCTTCCCCGCTCATCCCCCCCTGCCCTGGCAAACTGTATCTTACCCACAATCTTATATTTTGACAGTAGTTTTAACCCTGGCTGCATATTAGTAACACCTGGGGATCTTATAAACCATCTTCATGCCCTGGCTCCGCTCCCAAACTGTAGTATCTGCCCTTATTAAAAGCTGCCCAGGGAATTGTAATGTGAAGCCATGACTGCAAACCATTATCTGATGAAAAAGTTAAAATCATCTTGAGACTTTCTGATGATAAGATGACAATATTAGGACATTGGCATGAATAGAAGACATGAGAAGGGAAAGACAAAACATATTGGTGAAGATAAACTTTTTACTTGAATTTCTATGGATAGAAGATCTTGATATTGATTGCGTCTGTCTCTTTTATAAAAACTAATACCAATGGTTGCATGTTGTGTGATTCCATTTATATAACATTTTGAAATGATACAATTTTAGAATGGAGGAGAGATTAAAGGGATCTAGGATTAGGTAAGAGGTGTGTGGTCAGAACAGGACAACACAGAAGATCCTTATAGTGATGGAGGTATTCAGTATTTCAGTATCTTCTCTGTGGTGGTGGATACATGAACTTACACAGTGATAAAATCGTACCAAACTGAAAATACACATTCACAAATGAGTAGAGTCAAACTGGGGAAATCAAAAAAAAAAAAAAAGAATGTTAAGTGAAAGGAAATTGAGTGAGGATAGAGTGTTTTAAAAGAAAAACAAAAGCCAGTTCAAACATGAATGGCACTCACTTCCTGTGCTTGGAGCCCAAGTCTAGTTTAGAGACAATGAAGAGCATCTTTTTTTAAAAGAGATTTCTTTTTTTGTTGTGGAAGACCTGTCTCATGAGCAGTCTATTTGAACCCATGAGAAGGAAGACTGGCTTCTTTTCCTAATACAGTTCAGCGAAAGTATAAAGAGCACTGGAGCCTGAGACCTAAGCCCTGGGTTCAAATTTAAACCCATTAAGCTCTGACCTTGGGCACATCACAAAATGATCTTATCCTGCTCCTTTTTATAAATGGGGCTATTAATAACCTTATTCACATGACTGTTGTGAAGAATAAGTGTGATTTGATTTGTGACTAGGTATACAAATGCAAGTAATTGTTATGATTTTTCTCCAGAATTCATTGGTCCTTTCCCTTTTGTTTTTTATTCATCCTCCCTCAAGCTTAGGTACTCTATTCTTTCTGAGCGTGTTCTCAGTTCATCTCTCTGCTTCTCCCCCTACATGCCTTCCCTGGCATAATTCCATGTTGAACCTGTGCAGTACAGATCTCAGGAATGTGTGTGTGTGAACTCAGGGGAGAATATCTGCATAGTGCTCTAACCCACTTGTCCTTTCTACTTCTGTAGGGGAAACCCAAGAAGAAGCTTATTGACAGCAAGAACACGGTAACTGACTTTTAAAAGTTGAGAAATTCTTTCCATGTGCATAATGTATGACTGTGCACAGACTAAGCATGATACTTTATATGACCATTTTCAGTTTGGCTCAGCTTGAAGAATAATATAAAAATGTTTCCTATAGAAACACTATTCTGTGGCAACTTTTAGTAAACCAAGCTTGGGATTTACTTTTTTGTAACTACAGGTATATCATTTCAACGGATAATAATGGTGTTCTTGTTTGGCTATGTGAGAGAGATCCAAGTATTAATGAGATTTCAAGACTACTCTCATGTTAGATTCAAAGAAGAGGTCATGTTTTGGCCTTGACATACTTGGGGCACAGAGCTCTGCCCCCAATAGGACTGAGCAGAACTGCTTCCAGTTTGCCATGGAACTAAAAGTGTGCAAAATACCTGTGTCTCTTCATTTGAGCAGAGAGACAGGTCTTAGGGGAAGGACTGGGATGGCCTTGCCCAACTGAAGATTACAACCCAAACAAAAGCTCTTAACCCTGAACACACCCTCTGGTTTGAGACATTACATAACTCCCCTTTGTGCTGAATCTCTTTGAAAAGCAAAACGAGGGGACCTGCCCCATGCTTGAGTCGTTAAGTTCATGCGCTCTGCTTCGGTGGCCCAGGGTTTCACCAGTTCGGATCCTGGGCGTGGACATGGCATCGCTCATCAGGCCATGCTGAGGCAGCATCCCACATAGCACAACTAGAAGGACCCACAACCGAAAATACACAACTATGTACTGGGGGGCTTTGGGAGAAAAAGGGAAAATAAAATCTTTAAAAACAAAAAGAGCAAAATGATAACAGTAAGGAAGAAACCTCCCATATCTGGCTTTTTTTACATTTAAGAATTAAGATAAACTTGGTTTCTCATCCAAAGCTTTTGAAGCATAAGTCTAATTTTTCTTAAGAAGAAAAACATATGATTGCCATTTAATTAAGGGAAAACTGAGAGAAATCATTGTTTCCAAATGAAAGTCACAATTTCTAAGTTTTCTCCAGTTTTTAGTAAGGAATGTGCTTCATAGAGTATACTATTATCAATTTGGAAATTAGAAAAAGAATCTTAATTGACAAGCATATTTGAAGATCAGTGGATTCTGTCATTTATTTTTTGGCACTTATTTGATATTGCCATCAGTAGGGGTTTTAGAGTGTAAGCAAATGAAGGGTGGCATATGGCTGACTATATGCTGGAGCGTGAAAAGGATTAAAATCATACAGAGATCTTTGACCACAATGGAATTAGAAATCAATAACAATAGAAAATCTCCAAATATTTAGGAATTAGACAACACATTTCTAAATAATTCATGAATAAAGGAAGAAATCATGATGGAAATTAGAAAATATTTTGAATGATAATAAAAATATAACATTAAAATGTGTGGGATGCAGCTACCAGTAGTGTGTGTGTGCGAGAGAGGGGAATTTACAGCTTTAAATGCTTATATTAGAAAACAGAGGACTAAATCACTGATCAGGGTTCTATTTTATGAAGTTGGAAAAAGAAGAGTAACCCAAAGTAAGTAGAAGAAAGGAAATAATAAAGGGCAGAAATCAATTAAATAAAAGACAGACAATAAGGAAAATTAATAAAATCCAAAATTGTTCATAGATAAGATAGCAGAATGGATAAACTCTTGGGTAGACTGTTGTAGAAAAAAGAGAGAACATTAATTACCAGTATCAGCTAGGAAAGATGGACTATCACTATAGATCCTACAGACGTAAAAAGGATATTAATAGAATATTATTAACAACCTTATTCCACTATTTAACTTATATGAAATGTCTGAATTCCTTGTGGGGAAGAAACACTTAGCAAAAGTGACACAAGCTGAAATAGAAATTTTGAATAACCCTATACCTATTCAGAATATTGAATTTGAGGGTCCGGTGAGGGTCCAGCAGCAGTTAAGTTCGCATGTTCCACTTTGACGGCCCAGGGATCACTGGTTTGGATTCTGGGTGTGGACCGACACACTGCTTATCAAGCCATGCTGTGGCAGGCGTCCCACATGTAAAGTAGAGGAACTTGGGCACAGATGTTAGCTCAGGGCTAATCTTCCTAAAAAAAAAAAAAAAACAACAACAGAATATTGAATTTTAAATCTAAAACCTTCCTACAAAGAAAACTCCAGGCCCAGTAGTTTCACTAGTGAATTCCATCAAGCAGTTGAGGAAGAATAAGACCAATCTTACACAAACTCTTTAAAAAATATTGGAAGGGACACTTCCCAATTCTTTTTATGATGCCAGCATAACTGTGACACGAAAACCTGACAAAGACATTAAAAAAAAGAATAAAATTACAGGTTAATATCTTCATGAACATAGACACAAAATTTCTTAAAAGAATATTGGCAAATAGAATCCACCAGTATATAAAAAGGATAATACATATGACTAAAGTGAAATTTTTCCCAGTAGTGCAAGGTTGGTTTAACATTTGAAAATTAGTCAATATAACTCGCCATATTAAACAAAGGAGAAAAACCAGGTGGTCATTTTATTTGATGCAAAAAAAAGCATCTGATGAAATTCAATACATGTTTATGAGTAGTAAAACTCTTAGTAAATCAGGAATAGAAGAGAATTTCATCAATCTGTTAAAGGTCTTCTTTGAAAAACCTATTTCTAACATCGTACTGAATGGTGAAATATTGAAGGCTTTCCCCCTATGATTAATGATAAGGCACGGTGTCCACTCTTCACCACTTGTATTCCCTTTGTACTAGAGATCCTAAGCAGTACAATAAAGCAAGGGAGGAAAAAAAAGAAAGAAAAGGCATACAGATTGGAAAGGAAGAAGTTAAAATGTTTTTATTCTTAGATGACATGATTACGTTAGTAAAAAATCCTAAGGTATCTATAGAATAACTATAAGAACATACAAGTGCACTTAGCAAGGTCTTAGGACACAGGGTCAATATACTAAAATCTGCTGTTTTTTTAATATACTAGCAGTAAATAATTGGAAAATGAAATTTAACGTTCCATTTACAATAGCATTTGAAAATATGAAATTCTTAGGGATAAGTTTAACAAAATATTTTCAATACTTATACAGTAGAAGCTACTAAATATTACTGAAAGAGATTAAAGAAGGTATAAATAAGTGGAGAGATATGCTGTGTTCATGGATTAAAAGATTTGATATTGTAAATATCTATGCTCCTCAAACTAATCTAGTAGTATTTATTCTAGATTATTCTAGTAGATTTTTTTATAGAAATTGACCCACTGTTTTTAAAAAGTTTTGTATAGAAATGCAGAGGACTTCGAATATGCAACGTTGTCTTGAAGACTTAGAGTGCCTGACTTAAAGAAATGCTATAATGCTGTAGTAATCAGAACTGCGGCACTTTGAGCAATGGAACAGAATCAGGAGCCTAGAAATAGACCCACGTCTATCGTCATTCGACTTTAAACCAAAAGCCTAAAGTAATCTGATGGGAAAAGAAAACTTTTTAACAAGTGGGCCTGGAATTGGATATTATATTTTTAAAAATGAACCTCACCCCGTATCTCCCACAAAAATTAGAGATGATTCATAGACAAAAACATAAAAGCAATTACTCTAGAACTTCCAGAGGAAAATATCTTTGTGACTTTGAGCCTGGCAAAAGTTTTTAGACATGACACAGAAAGCAATAAGCAAAAAGGAAAAAATGATAATCTAGATTTCCTCAAAATTAGAAACTTTCATTGATCATAAGATACTGTTAAGAAAATAACCAGGCAACATCAACAGACGAATGGATAAAGAAGATGTGGTACATATATACAATGGAATACTACTCAGCTGTAAAACAGAACAAAATCATTCCATTTGCAATAACATGGATGGACCTTGAGGGAATTATGTTAAGTGTAATAAGCCAGCGAGAGAAGGATAATCTGTGTATGACTCCACTCATATGAGGAATTTAAAATTATGGACTAAGAACAGTTTAGTGGATACCAAGGGAAAGGTGGGGTGGGGGGTGGGCACAAAGGGTGAAGTGGTGCACCTACAAGACGACTGACAAACATTAATGTACAACTGAAATTTCACAAGATTCTAACCTATCATTAACTCAATAAAAAAAAATAAAATAAAATAAAAAAAAGAGAATAACCAGGCAAGCCATAGACTGAGAGAACATATTCATCAAACACATCTGTCCAGGGTCTGATATCTAGGAAATAGAATGGACTCCTACAACTGAATAATTAAAAGACAATCCAATTACAAGTGGGTAAAATATTTGGTCGCTTCAAAAGGAAGATATGTGAATAGCCAATATGCTTATGAAAATGTGCTTAACAACACTGGTTATCAGAGAATGGCAAATTAAAATCATGAGATACCACTAAATGTCCAGCAGAATGGCTAAAATTATATCAAATCATCATGTTGTACACTTTAAATATCTTACAGTTTGTCAATTAAACCTCAGTAAAGCTGGAAAAAAAATGACAATCAAATGGTGAGGATGTGGAGCTAATGGAACTCTGATAAATTGTCACTGGCAGCATAAACTGGTACATGTACTTTCGAAAGTCTGGCAGTCTGTTAGAAAGCCTAGAAAATTCCATTCTGAGATCTTTACTCAGAAGAAATGAAAAATTTAGCTGTAAAATGACTTGTACAAAATGCTCATGGCAGCTTTATTCATAATATTCCAAAACTGGAAACAACCTAGATGTCCAGCAAGAGGAGAGTAGGTGGACTGTGGATTATTGATATAGTAGACTAACCCTCAGCAATTAAAAGGGATAAATAGTGATACACGCAACATGGATGAATCTCAAAAACAAGCTGAATGAAAGGAGACTTACCCAAAAGAGGTCATACAGTATCATTCCATTTTTATGAACTTCTGGAACAGGCAAACCTAATATGTGATGAAACAGTTGGGAAAGGTGGTTTCCTTTAGGAGTGTGAGGGAGGGATTGACTGGGAAGGGGTGTGAGAACTTTCTGAGGGGATAGTAATGTTAGAGTTTGGGTTATGCGGCTCTAGGCATTTCTCAAAACTCAACAAATGGACATTTAATATTTGGGTATTTCACTGTGTGGAGTTTTTAGCTCACCAAAAAAAAAAAACCCTCCCCAAACCAAACAACAACAACCCAAAGCCCTATAAAACAAATATTGAAGTCCAAATACTAATAATACGTATGTTGAAGTGTTTAGGAACAAAGCGCACTGATGTCTGTGTGCAACTTCGAAATGCTTTAAAAATTAGATGAATTGATGGATGGATAGAAGAATGGAAGATTGGATATATATATGATCAAACACATATAGTAAAATATTCATTGTAGAAACTAGGTGGTGAATATATGGATGTTCACTGTACAAATCTTTAAACTTTCTTGTTTAAGTATTTTCGTAATAAAACATTGGAAAGATAAAATGAAATAGATGTAGCTAAAAGGCATTACAACTTTTTTATAGGGAATTCAGTTGTTTATCAATTCAGAGACATTTATGGTATGACAGCTGTGTGCTGGGCAGTCTCAAGCATCACTGATCCAGTGGTCAACAGGACATGCTTGCCCTCATAGAACTGTCATTCCGTTGATCAGATTCACGCTTTCCCAGCAGTCCCTGCCACCATCTCTTGTACTAGTTAAGATTTTTTGTCTATTCAGGGATTCTTAGAAGCTCTTAGTTGTTATTTAAAAATATCAGATGTGTTTTATTTTCTTTATTATTTAATTGCCTAGAAATCTCTTTATTTTCACAACTGTGCAGGGGACGGAGTGTTCAGTTGTTGGGACTATGATATGCTGGGTTTGAAGTGTTTTTAAAGTTCACTAATTTGCTTCCTGTTTCTGCCCCCAATGTCATAACCTTCCCTGTTCTTGGCTCAATTTCCTCCTCTAGGGAGAAGGCCTCAAAAAGATTTACTATCCAACCCATCTACCCAGAAATCCCCAAAAGTCCTAAATAGACCAAAAAACACAGCCTTTCCATCATTCCCAGAGATTGTAAACTCCCAGAGGAACGAGGATGATTCCTTAACCTCAAAGGGAATACACTTTGAGTTCTAGAGAGTTCAAGAGGGAGAAAGTTCAGAGCCAACCAGTTAGATCTTGAGTTCTGAGTATACAGAGTTGGCTGCTTTCAGACACTAACGTGGATACATCTTTTCTGACAATGACCAAGAACCTTCACTCCCTTTGGTGACCTTGTTATCTCTGCCTCCTCTGTACTTTGCCCACTCTTTGTCTGGATTGGGCCTGATACCTCTCACTTCCCTAATTTGGGATTTATGTTACTTTGACTAATGCCTAGTGTAGCTGTTGCCATCCCCTTTCCCCATCCCATTTCCCATTCATGGCCTGATTGAATTTGGCCTTGTCCTACCTCTGCTGCCTTCCCTTGTCTGTGCCTCTGACTCAAACTCCTGACCTGTACTCAACACCTGGAGTGTCTCTGCCACCTCTCCCCACCTCCTCCTGTAACTGAGTATGCTCTAAGGGAGGAGTTCCTCATGTTGGAATGCTTAAGACGTAGTGTGTCCCAAGGTCTTAGTAACTTTTCACTAAGACACTTTCCGTCTGAGTCTCCTCAGCTCTGTGCTACCATATTCACAGGTTACCAGCCATTCTTCCCCTCATTTCAACCTCTGCTAAATCTTTGTTTAGTCTCCTCAGCTCTGTGCTACCATATTCACAGGTTATCAGCCGTTGTTCCCCTCATTTCAACCTCTGCTAAATCTTTGTTTATTAAATATTGTATACATTCAGAAGAATATTTGTTTGATTCTAAGTTTTAATGAATAGCAATAAAGCAAACACCTCTAGCCACCATCCAGCCTAAGAATGAAAATGTTACCAGTGTCTCCCAGTCATTCTTAAGGTATTAGGCATTGGGTAGCACTTTATGATCTCTGCAATAAACAGTCAGCCGGTATTACTGAATACTTAAACATACTTAAACGTTGTCTTCAGATATGTTTTTGTTCAGAACATTTAGCAAATTCAGATAGGCCATTAGTGAAGTTTTAGTGTAGATTCCAGTATTCTCATTTATCTGTCAAACCTTTTAGAATTCACTAGAGTGACCATGCCCAGTCTGTCATCATTACAGAATTCTGTCATAATAAAGGAGAGAATTTTCTAAAGGCTGTAGCTACCATATTGTTTTTTCCTAGAATGGCTGCTGATGGAGCACCAGAATTGAAAGTCGAGAGTATGAATTCAAAGGCAAAGCTGCATGCTGCTCTTTATGAGAGGAAGCTCCTGTCTTTGGAGGTGCGAAAACGTAGACGTCGGAGTGGCAGATTGAGGGCAATGAGGCCAAAATACCCAGGTACCTGCTGGTGAGCTTTCACCAAACTCTATTACCCAGATCCTGCCAGACTGAGTTAATCAGCTTCTTAATTAATACTTAGTGAATCAGAACCTTACTGATCACGTATACTTAATTTTTTTGTGTAGGCTTTTTCCTCTGAAACTTAATTTGAAAAGGATGGTAAATTTTTAAATCTTCCACTCTATAATATTTGTACTGAAGAATATCTGAAGCACACACATTTGGCTTTTGTTCTTATTCCAGCATCACATAACTTGCTGATACTTTAGAAATAATATTAGCTTCAGTTTAATGGAATCCTAAGCATTATTGTTCAGGTCTTTCGTGATTAAATATTAAGTCCAGTTCATCCTTTGATATTGCCGAATGACGTAAATGTTTTAAACATGAACAGACGAGGGGGAATTTCTTTCTCTTCCAGATTCTCCCCTGTTATCGGTCTGTTTGTCACTGACTGATTGACTGACTTCCTTTTTTTCTCCCTCCTTCCCTAGTTTGTTTAGCACCTGTATCAGATGCATTAGTCACTGGGGTTTCACTGGTGAATTAAAAAAATATGGTCCTTGTCCTCATAGACCTTCCAAGGCAGTGCAGTAGAAGGATGATGAATAAACATAGGATAGAAAGTTATTCCCTTGCTCTTTGGGCCTCCGTGAAAGGTGCCCTTCAAAAACCTCTAATACCCTCTAGAGATTGCTCTGTGAAGATAGATTTTGTCTTAAGTCATGAGACAGCCATTGGTATTATGATGAGAAACGTCTCTAATAAAGATCATTAGTAGGTCTTTAGACTATATAAGATTGGAGAGTAACATGTGTATGCTGTTAATTTTACATATTTGTGGTCTTAGTTAGAGAAATGGGTTTTTACCAAAAAGATAAAAGGAAGGTATTGGGAGAGTGGAAACTTTAATCCTTTTTTCAGCAACATTAGTGATTCTTCGCATTTAGTGATTACTCATCCAGCTGAAATGAATGTTAAAGCTGAGACAGAGAGTGAAGAGGAGGAAGAAGTTGCTTTAGACAATGAAGATGAAGAACAGGAAGCTTCCCAGGAGGAGTCTGCAGGGTCCCTTGGAGAAAATCAAGCCAAATACACACCCTCATTGACCGTTATGGCAGAACATTCACCCAAAGAAAATGCCGTGAAAGTTCCTGAATGGAATAATAAAGGTGAACAGTGCTGCAAAATTGAGACTCAGGAGTCAGAGCCTAAATTCAACCTGATGCAGATTCTGCAAGATAATGGCAATCTTAGGTATGTACCTTTTGTAATTATCATAGTAAAATTGATAACAACTAAATTGTACAGTGTACCAGGTACTGTGCTGGTGTCTTTTCAGCCATTTTTCAATTCTTAATCACAGCAGTCCTGTGAATAATGACTGTGGTTTGATATTATTGTTAATAAGGAAACTGAGCCTTAGAGAGGTTACTTGTCCAAGGTATAGAGCTGTGATACAAACCCAGGTCTCACTGGCCCGACAAATAATTGCTGGGTTTTAGTGTCAGTCACTAAGAGCAAGGAGACAAGCTTGAGACAAGGAGCTCAGGAAGCTCATGGTTTAGTATGGGGACACTTAAAGAGCGGGGCTATGACCCTAATATGGACAAAGTGCTCTGAGGATACAGAAAAAGGAGTGATTGATCTTGCTTGGGAAGATTAGAGAGACATTAGGGAAGAGATGATGTTTGAACCAGACTTTGATTGATGAGTAGGGCTTCAGGAGGTTTGGGAGGTGACAGCTAAGTGTGGGAGTGCTAGTGGAGGAAATAAAGGCACAGAGGTGTGATAGTACACTCATTCATCCCGTCCCTTCACAAGTATTTATTGAGCACTGCTCTGGGCCAGCAATTATGCTAAGCTGTATGCTGTCAGCAGTGGAGACCAAGACAGGCTCGTGGAGCTTATGATCTAGTGGGGAAGACTGACAGTACACAAAGAACAAGATAGTTTCAGGCAGTAAGAAGTGCTCTGAAGACAATAAACAGGGTGTAATGTTAGAGTGTAATTAGGCAGAGGGTTTCTTTAGATTGTGGTGTTCGGGCACGAAGAGGTAACCTTTGAGGTGAGTCTTGAATGATGAGGCGGAGCTAAGTCGTGAATATCAGGGGGCAGAATATTGCAGGCAGAACAGCAAGTATAGTGGCCCTGAAATTGAAATGAGGTTGGCGAGTTTGAGAAATACAGATTAGCGTGGTGGAGTTACATGGAGAGAAGGGTGTGGTAAGAAATGAGACTAAGAAGTTGGATGTCATTTGATCCTAAAGGCCTTTAGGAGGAGCCTGGACTTTATTTTCTAGATGGATAATTTTTAAGCAGATGAATGATATGGTCAGATTTTGAATTGGAAAGTAAATTCTGGTTGCGTTGTGGGTTAGTGATTGACAAGAAGAGAACTAAAGGCAGAGAGGTGTGTTAGGGGGTGTTAGAATAGTCCAGAGCCAGGAAAATGAAGGCCTTGACCCAGAGCAGTGGCTATAGGAATGGAGAGAATGGGATGGACTTAATGAAATTTGCAAGTTAAATTGACAGGGCTTGGTCTCTGTAGATGTAAAAACTCCAAGAGACTGAATTTTCCAAATTTGGCAACTTGGTGATGCCATCAGTCAGTATGAGGAGCAGAGGAGTTGATTTCATTATATGCTTTTCATTGGGACACCGTGAGGTGGAAGTGCTTTGGGATGAAGACGTCCAGTAGATAGGTGAAAATACAGCTTTGAAGGCAGAGTTGAACAGTATTATACAGTTGGTAGTTACAAACTTCAGAGTGGATAAGCTTGTCCAATTCAGTTTAGTTCAGCAAGCTTAGACAAGGAGAAAAGGAAGAGAATTGAGCCCTGGGAAAAACCAGTGTTTAATAGTAAAGAGACCAAGAAATAGCAGTTAGAGGGGTAGACATAAAACTGGGAGGGAGTACTATGGTAAAAGCTACAAGATGAGAGTTTCAAGCTGTAGAGTGCTTCAGACATCCCAGAGTTAGGATGGGGAATGAAAAGAGACTCCTGCCTTTGGGACCTGGGATGGACTTTAGTGGGTGGAAGAGAAATTCCAAGTTGAAGAAATAAGAAAGCAAGTGTCAGCTTTTTCAGAGGGGTTGTCGATGAAAGGAAGGTGAGAATGCATGAGAGAGAGGAAGCTAAGAGAGAAAAGATTTTTTAAGGCAGGGATTCTGGAGCTTGTTTATAGACTAGGGGAAGGATTTGATGGCAAGAGGATTAGAGATGCAGACATGGATATATTGAAAAAGAAGGGTCCTAAAGGGAGGTGGAAAGAGGCCAGTGGAGGGGTATCTCTTCCTGTAAGTCAGAAAGAAAGCACTGGAGGATGAATGCAGTAGTTAGAAGTTAAAGGGGAGGGAAATTTAGGTATTTGTGCGTGATGCCTTTGTTTCCTAAGTTAAAGGTCAGTTCTTATGCTGCAAGGTTGGAGGGCGATCATGGGGTCTAGGGGGTTGGAGGAAGAGAGTTAAGCTTTGGAACAGTGTCGTGGAGAAAGAGAATAGCACATTGAACTGTGTCAGGAGACCTAGGCTCTGGCTTCTTAGTACTTACCAACTGGTTGTGTGATCATGGGCAAGTCAGAGAGCTTCTCTATGCCTCAGTTTCCTTTTCTGTTAAGCGAAAGTATGGGGTTAGACAAGTGTCTTTCAAACACTTGTCTTTGTGTACTTTCTGGAGGGGAAGAAAGATTCCACTGAATTGGAATAGAGCATTTGAAAACCACTGGACTGTATTCTAAGGTCCTTTCCAGCAACAACATTCTGCTTAGCTGTTATAGAAATAAATTATTTCTTCATAAATGTTATGGATCTCACTTTCAGTGAGTAAACTGTTGTAATTGCAGGGTGTGTTAATGTAAGTCAGTGGTTTTCAGACTGGGTTTCCTGGAGCCGTCTGTCATTCTCTGGGACATCTCAGTGTTACTGAGAGGTCTGGGGGAGGTCCATGGCAAGGATTTGAGGCTCCAGGCCCCAGTCCCATAGTTGTATATTTTGTATACCAAGGATCCACGTAGGCTTTTATTGTTTAAAAATAGATTACTTCAGTATAGATCATTCTAGTTTGCATTCTTTCATCTTTTTTTGGTTTGTTTGTTACAAATGACTAGCTGACCAATGTGTCCACTAACTGAGAGACAACTTTAGGATGAACCTTCCGCAGTACTCTTTAATAAGGTTTATAGAAATGGAAAACTCAATCCTTGCTCATTTGACCTGCAACCAAATGATGATTGAAATCTCAACTTCCAAGCAATAATTCCCTCATCTAAAAATCCTTCTTGTTTTAGTATTAGAGAGCTATTCAATAAAATTAGATATTCTGTTACATTTGGAGGTGGCTGACGCATGCCATTTCTAGCTCAGTATATTACAAGTGAATTTGTTGACCAAAATTGAGAATCTTTTTCAATTATTTTGACTTGAAAATAATTTGTTGTGGAGGTAAAACTTATGGGAATGGTTGAGGGGAAAGGGGTATATCGTCTTGGGTAAACAAGAATATAATCGTTGTCCTTGCTGAGAAACATTTGAAAATATACATTTATTTCTTCAAAATCATATTGTGCTCCCATAAACTACCTCTGTTAGTAACAGAGATGTAGCCTTACTTACATTTCATGCTCTAAAGATCTTCTGTTTTAAACTCTCCAAAGCAAATCTACTTCCCAACCTGATTGCCCTCCCTCCAGTCCCTTCAGCACACACGTAGAAGCTAGACCTAGACCCGCTGAGGATTTCCAGTTTACTCTGGACGAGTCCTTCATCCTAGCCTTGGAGGAACAGTGAGGAGAAAGCATTCAGTGATTGCATGTGCGAGGACTGTAAACAAAGTTTGTGTTGGGCCCTAATCTTCGCTGATGTAATTTTGGCTGGAGTGTCAGAAGGCCGATCAGCTGAAGTAATAACCATAATCTCTCTTGAAGGAAAACAGATCTGCTACAGTTAGCAGCTGAAGTGAAAATCATCAGTGTCTCTCTCATACTTCTGTCTTCCCCACTATAGCTTCTCAGATTTCCCTGTTTCTAACCTGGACCACCAGGCAGAAATCAGCTGGGTTCTTCAGTGATGTCACTGAGGTGCTTTTTACTATATGTAAGGATTTCTTTTTCCCACTGAACATCTGGGCTCGTCCTAGCCCGTCAGTTCTACGCCAAACCCTGTTGGACCTCACTCATTTGTTCTGGGCTCCAGCCACTCCCGTCTTGTAGTTAAGAAAAGCATGGCCTTAAAATTTGGTCTCCAAAGTTCCTTTGTAGGATTTATCTATTTCCTGCTTTGGAGGCTTTTGCACACCAGAAATATTAGTTGCCATAGCAAAGCCATACTTTTGCACTAACTGATAAGTATGTTCTTAAGGGCCTCCAAGGCAGAAAAATCCTTCCACATTAATACAAAAGTTCTTCTGAAGATTCAGTACTTTTTCTGTCCATTCCCCCAAGAAAGTTGTTAAAAAGTTCAGAAATAAGTTATAATAGAGGGAAACCTGATTTTTCTATTCTTGTTTGATTTTTTCCCCCCATGGTAATAATGAGAAAATAAATAGGATTCTCCCTCCCTGATTCTTGTAATAGAAAAAAAAGTCTCGTGTACTATTGAGAAGGAATCTTTATTCAGTGACTGTGTGAGGGGCTTCGTTTTTCTTGGCCATCCCAATAGAAGGATCCTCAAAGGCCACTTCGAGAGAGGGAAGTACATATTTGCTAGGCTTACCTTGCTGTCTCATAATGGTGTGTTGTTTTGGATTTCTATAGCAAAGTACAGGCCCGAATAGCATTCTCTGCCTATCTCCAGCATGTTCAAATTCGCCTGATGAAAGACAGTGGAGGTCAGACGTTCAGTGCCAGTTGGGCTGCCAAAGAGGATGAACAGATGGTGAGGCTCTTCTTGTTGGAACCTTTTTACTTTCCCTTTTTCTTTTCTTTTCTTTTTTTTTTCTATTAAGGTAAAGAGCAATATGTTTTTCTGATAAAAGAATTATTCCATAGTATAGGTTATAGATTTCTCTTACTTTAATGTGAAGTACATCTTGGATCTGGAGCCATGTACATCACACTATGTGTTGAGCACGTCAGTTTATTTCGTTCTGAAAATAGGAATTGATTGCTCATTAGATGTCAGGCCCTGTGCAAAGCCCTCGAGAAGAATAACAATTTATAGAGGTCTTTCTCAAGCAACTTCATGTTTTATTAACACTTTGAGGGAAGCACTATCGTCCTCATTTCACAAATGAGGAAACAAAGACCCAGAGAATGGAAGTAACTTGCCTGTTGTCCCACAGCTTATATGCGAAACTGGAACCCAGATATTGTAATTGTACATTATTTACTCTTCCATTGTTTCCCTGCATCATAAGGCATTTATTTTCTGTCCTGAGGGATCAAATTAGCTCTTGGAAAGTCCGCACTTTATCATAGGCCCTCTAAAAATGTACCATCCTCCATTTTAACATTTTTTCTTTACTAGTTGTTACTTTATAAAGTTCTTAGATTACTGGAAACAAACTTTGTAGTAATTTTTACTGCATATCAGTCATTTGAACATGCCTAGAATTTAATATTCTAGCAAGGTTTTTCTTTTTGGGTCAGAATGACAGGGAGCTTCAAGCTCTTTGGTAAGGTCAATGATTATAGAAGAAGGCACAGTCCTTCCATAGCCTTTATAACCACAGAGATCTGTTCTGAAAAGAGAAGGATGTTTAAGTATGAGAAAGCTGCATCGTTTATCCAACTCAGTGGTGACCCTACCATAATCTTCAGTTCTCCATATACAGGAGGCATACAGGGTGCCAGGCTTATTATAAAAACATGATGGATATCCCAGAAAACAACTTGTGAATTTAAAGTAGCCAATACAACCCGGAGATAAAACCTTGTGTGTTGTGAATAATCCTTCAACCATCAGTGGAAAATGTTAGTTCTGCTCTTTCCAAGTGGAAAATTGAAACTGCCTTTATTGAGAGTCAGTTTGTCTGCTCCACTATGAAAAAATAATGTTTTAATTTAGTAGCTTTAACCACTCTATAGTAAAGACGGCAGAGTAGAACCATGAAACCCAACCCTCTGGTTGTGAGGCTCCTTCTTTATGCTGGAGTAAATTGGCACCAAAAGACAATGAACCCAAATCAAATTCAAGAAGAAAAAAATAGCTCAGAGGAGAATAACCACTGCAACTGCTGGCTTGGGATTCACAGAGGATTTCCATGGGGCTTTTTATAAGAACATTTAGGATCATCACTGCAAAACTTAATCCTAGTTCTGTGCATTCCTTTTTGAAAGTATATCTAGAGAGCAAAGCCTAATCCCATTACCTGATGATTGTGGCCTTGTTTATGAGGAAGGTAGGTGTAAAATTGCCTTCTCTGGTCCTGGTTAAGATTAGAAATTCTTTCTCACATAGCTCACAGAAGGCACGTCAATAGAAGGTCCCAAAATCTACCATCTTAAGGGGATTTTATTGTGTTTGGAGTGGGAAGGAGGGAACAATCATCTTTAAGGCCCTTGTCTTTGCAAAATCTCTCTTTGAAGCGTTTGTGATGTTATAAATGAACTGATTGGTATGTGTTCAGATTTCAAAATCCTTTACCCCATCTTGGGTGAGCTGCATCCCTTCTTCCCCTGAATGACCTTCCACTGTGTCCTCCTCACCAATCCCAGCTCTAAAAGCTCCGTTATACTTGGGGAAGGAAAAAAAAACACTATCACCTTTCAAGCATTATAGTAGTTCTTTCTTTCCCTTTATCACTAAACTTTTTAAATCAGTAGTTTCTACTCTTCACCGATATTCTTCATTACCCATGCGTTTCTTAACCCCTTCCTTCTATTCCTTGTACTCTACTGAAAGTGTTCTCTTGAAATTATCTCACAGTGACCAGATCCAGGGCCTTGTCTTGGTCGTGGTCCTTTGCAACTCCAGCCTCTTGGAGGCTTTTGACATGGGACCCTTTCCTCCCTTGTTTTGCGTGACACTAGTTTCTCCTGGCTTTCCTTTCTGCATTTCTGGTGTTTCTACCTTGGGGTTTTTTTCGTTTATTTATTTATTTTTTTTCTGATTCTTCCTCCTCTTTCCTATCTCTAAGTATGAATGTTTCTGTATTCTTTCTCTGCCTTCTCATTTTGGTGACTTATCTGCTCCCATGGTTTTAGTTTCTACTACCTATCCTTGAATGCTACTTTCCCTAAATAGCTTTGTTTGATTACCCTATGCAAACAATATCTGCACTCTTAATTATTATAGTACTATTTGTATATGAATTATGGTTCTTTTACAGCCACTACTTTATTACATAGTTATTTGCATACATAGTTGATTTTGATTTTCTGATTGCCAGTTTGTTGAGGGAAGAGAACGTTTCTTTTGCTTTGTTTTGCTTTGCTTTTCTGTATCCTTCTTATACCTAACATGTTTGCTCTGGGTCTTATCTGTTGACATGTATAGTATACATACTCCTCTCACATCTCTGTTGTGTAATCCCTTTATAGCTTGTCTTCTGTTGCTTAGCACCATCCCTGCTTTTTTCCCGCCAATGACTTGTAATTTGTAGGAGCTGGTGGTTCGTTTCCTCAAGCGAGCATCAAGTAACCTCCAGCACTCACTGAGGATGGTATTACCCAGTCGACGATTGGCACTTCTAGAACGCAGAAGAATCCTGGCCCACCAACTGGGTGACTTTATCATTGTGTACAACAAGGTAGGTGGTTTATTTGTTAGTCCTGTGCTTTAGTTTGCCACACACTAAACAGGCTAGAAGCCTCTGTCCAGCTGAACAGAGAGGTCCTTCTTCTCTTTTCTAGCATCATCATCCCCCATGTGTGACTGTTATGGGGAGCAGAACCTCACTCCTTAACCCAGCTGGGCTGAAAAGCTACTGTTACTTCTGGAGGTCCAGTGGCCATAGTTAATGCTTATCGAAAGACATACTCCTTTTGAGCACTGTTACACCTGAGATGAATCCTGGGCTATGTGATTGCATTGTCATTGTTGTGCCTGTAGACAGTGGTGAACTGACTATTTGGGAGCAAATTTGAACTGTGGATTTAATATAATGACATAATCTTCTTTCCCGAGAGAGTTATACTTTTTTCTCTAGAACGTTTTATACAGTGACATCACTTTACAACCAAGCCCAGGAAATATACTATTTAGTTAGAATATTTTGCAAAGCATCTTATAGCCAGGGGTTTCAGAATGCTTTTAGAAATATCATTTTTGGGGGAAAAAGTAGTATCGTCATTTTGCGGAAAGGAAAGCTGAGGCCTGGAAATTTAAATGGCTTTTGTAAAGATGTGTCGAATGGCTAGTAGAATATCAACACACCAAATCCATAGCCGCAGTTTACTCCAGATCTATTGAGAATTTTATGTCTTATATAAGTGAATAATTTATTCAGTTTGGATGCTTGTATAGGAGTATCTTCCAAGAGCTATCTTTCCTCTCCCTAGTTGTAACAGAATACAGTGTCTCTGTTGTCATACTCTTAAAGCTACAAGTGTGACTGTAGACATTACTAAGCTACTATGAAAAGCTCTTTTCTCAATGGACTAGGTGAGTAGAAAGTAAAAACATGATAAAAACTTACATTTATTCTGCAGCTTTTACTTGGGAATTCCAAAGTGTTTCATGAAATAAGGGAAGAAAGTAGTATATCAAATTTATAGATGGCGAAAGTGCATGGAGGAATTAAATGTCTTTGCTATAAAGACAAGTTAACCCAGGGGTCATAAAACAAGATGATGAAGTGTGCATTTATCAGGAGTCATTTTTATCTTGTTTTTCTATGGGTGTTGGGGACTGGGTAGGAAACAGAACAAATGGCTGAAAAGAAATCGAAGAAAAAACTTGAGGAAGAAGAGGAAGATGGGGTGAATACGGAAAACTTTCAAGAGTTCATCAAACAAGCAAGGTAGAAGACATTCTTGGTTAATAAAAACTGTCGTCTTCCATCTTCCATACTGCTTCATTGAATTCCCAGTATTCCCCTTGTTTCTAACATGTGGATGTGGGTAAAATCACTCTCAGAAGGAGAAAAGAGTTTCCTAGGCTTGGCTTCTCCATATCTCAGCCAATTACGTTGCTGTTGTCATGGTTTCAGTTATCAAAACACTGCTGCTGGGTATCTGGGCTATATTTCTAGCCAGGCTTCAAAATACACACCACTTGAAGTGCTGAGCGAGCCCTTTGGAAAGTTGAAGTTAGAGGCTTCTAGTGTTTACTGGATATGAATTTATCCCTGACCTACTGATGCAGTGGGGATGACCAAATTTTGCCTACACTGAGTGGGTTGAGGAATTGGCAATTTCTCAGCACTCTGAGGGTTACGCCTAATTTATATAAAATAGAGCAAGTCCTTCATGCTTAGGGCTGGTCTCTAGGGATTGAAAATCTCAACATTTGGCTCTCTATCTTGATACAAATCAGGCAGGCCATTTTGTCCATTTACAGTGTGTTTCCAAAGGAAGAGGTAACAAAGACATTTAATTTTAAATTTTGTAAGACTCACACTGGAAGGCCTTATTCTAAATTAGAGAGTTGTACAAAACCACTAAAATAAAGGATAAACATCGATATAACACTATTAATTAGGCTTCCCCTATCTAAGTCGCAGTAGAAAATCAGGCGTTGAAAATCAGTAGAGTTAAGTCAGATGGTGGTTTATCAATCACCAGCATAGTACGATCTGTGTTTAATACCTCCAGACTAACTGTAGCCTCAGTATCATGTGCTTAAACTCACAGCAGACAAACACATCGCTTTGCAGGAGTTCATAATTGTGTAACGTGATTTTGTTGACATTCTTGGGTCTTGAGTGACATGATTGATAAAGCAGGTATAGAAACAAAAGAAGAAACAGTTATATAAATATCATAAACGTGGAAAAGAAAAAAACTAGATTATGTTCAGAAAATGGCTCTACTTTTAAAGTTAAAAGAATAATTTCTACATCTTCCTAGGGATATATATAAATGTATAAATATGAAAAAAGAGAGAAAAAGAAACCTTTTAAAAGTGATGTGTAGGGGCCGGCCCAGTGGCGCAGCAGTTAAGTTCACATGTTCTGCTTTGGCGGCCCGGGGTTCGCCGGTTCAGATCGCGGGTGCGGAAATGGCACCGCTTGGCACGCCATGCTGTGGTAGGCGTCCCACATATAAAGGAGAGGAAGATGGGCATGGATGTTAGCTCGGGGCCAGTCTTCCTCAGCAAAAAAGAGGAGGATTGGCGGCAGATGTTGGCTCGGGGCTAATCTTCCTCCAACAAAAAAAAAAGATGGAAAAAAAAAGTGACGTGTAGTCCCCTATCAGGCCTAATGGGGTACTAAAAATGAATAATATATACTATTCACTGATGATATAGATTTGGAGATAAAATACATTGGAACGTATTTACTACTGATTGTGGATTAAATGTTGGTTGTTGGCAATATGTGGTAGCATCAGTCTTTTTTTTTATTGAGGTCATCTTGGCTTTTAACATTGTGTAAATTTCAGGTGTATATTATTATATTCCACTTTCTGTATAGACTGCATGGTGTTCGCCACCAATAGTCTATTTTTAATTTGTCACCACACACATGTCCCCCTTTATCCCTGACACCCTCTCTCCACCCCCTTTTCATCTAGTAACCACTAATCTGTTCTCCTTATCTAAGTGTTTGTCTTCCACATATGAGTGAAATCATACGGTATTTGTCTTTCTCTGTCTGACTTATTTTGCTTAGCATAATGCTGTCAAGGTCCATCCATGTTGTCACGAATAGCACAATTTTGTCTTTTTTTATGGCTGAGTAGTATTCCATTGTGTGTGTATATATATATATATATATATACACCACATCTTTATCCATTCGTCCATTGATGGGCACATGGGTTGCTTCCATGTCTTGGCTATTGTGAATAATGCATCTTTTTGTATTGTTCATTTCATGTTCTTTGGATAAACACCCAGTAGTGGGATAGCTGGATCCTATGGTATTTCTATTTTTAGTTTTTTGAGAAATCTCCATACTGTTTTCCATAGTGGTTGCACCAGTTTGTGTTCCCACCAGCAGTGTATGGGGGTTCCTTTTTCTCCACATCCTCTCCAACTCTTGTTATTTCTTGTCTTGGTGATTATAGCCATTCTGACAGGTGTAAGGTGGTATCTCATTGCAGTTTTTATTTGCATTTCCCTAATAATTAGTGATATTGAACTCTTTTCATGTGCCTGTTGGCCATCTGTATATCTTCTTTGGAAAAATGTTCATATCCTCTGCCCATTTTTTCATCAGGTTGTTCATTTTTTTGTTGTTGACTTGTATGAGTTCTTTATATATTTTGGAAATTAATCCCTTGTCAGATATATGATTTGCAAATATTTTCTCCTAGTTGGTGGGTTGTCTTTTCATTTTGTCGGTCGTTTCCTTTGCTTTGCAGAAGGTTTTTAATCTGATGTAGTCTCCTTTGTTTATTTTTCCTTTTGTTTCCCTTTGCTGAGTAGACATACTATTCGAAAAGATATTGCTGAGACTGATGTCAGAGTGTGCAGCCTATATTTTCTTCTAAGAGTTTTATAATTTCAGGTCTTAAGTTTTTAATGCATTTTGAGTTAATTTTTGTGTATGGTATAAGATAATGGTCTACTTTCATTCTTTTGCATGTGGCCATCCAGTTTTCCCAACACCATTTATTGAAGAGACTTTCCTTTCTCCATTGTGTGTTCTTGGCTCCTTTGTCAAAGATTATCTGTCCATAGATTCTTTCTGGACTCTTTATTCTGTTCCATTGATCTGTGTGTCTGTTTTGATTACTATAGCTTTATAGTATAATTTGAATTCAGAGAATGTGATACCTCCAACTTTGTTCTTTTTTCTCAGGATTGTTTTGGCTATTCAAGGTGATAGTTTTTGTCTTTTAGTACTTTGAATATGTCATTCTGCTCTCTCCTAGCTTGTAAGGTTTCTGCTGAGAAATCTGCTGAAAGCCTAATGGTGGTTCCTCTGTAGGTTATTTTCTTCTCTCTTGCTGCCCTTAATATTTTTTCTTTGTCATTGGCTTGTGCCAGTTTTACTATTATGTGCCTTGGACAAGGTCTTTTTGCATTGATGTAATTAGGAGTTCTATTGACTTAGTGTACTTGCATGTCCAGTTCCTTCTCCAGGTTTGGGAAGTTCTCAGCTATTATTTCTTTGAATAATCTCTCTGCTCCTTTCTCCCTCTGTTCTCCCTTTGGGGGAGAACATAATCCTTATGTTTATTTTCCTAATTGAGTTGGATATTTCTCAAAGAATTTCTTCATTTTTTAAAAATCTTAGTTCTCTCTCCTCTTCCACCTGGATCATTTTTAGGTTTCTATCTTTAAGCTCACTGATTCTCTCCTCTATAAGCTCTGCTCTATTTTTTCTGCTTTCTATATTGTTTTTTATCTCATTAATTGTGTTCTTCATATCCAGAATTTCTGTTTGGGTTTTTTTTTTTTTTAGAGCTTCGGTCTCTTTGGTGAAGTATGCCTTCTGTTCATTAATTTTATTCCTGAGTTCATTGAACTGTCTTTCTGAGTTTTCTTGTAACTTGTTGAGTTTCTTTATGACAGCTACTTTAAATTCTTTGTCAATCAGATTGTAATCTTCTGTAACTTCAAGTTTGCTTTCAGGAGAGCTGTCATTCTCCTTCTGTTCTGTCGTGTTACTGTAGTTCTTCATGGTATTTGATGAATTGATCCTCTGCCTATGCATTTGTGGTAGTAATCACCTTTCTTTTTTGGGTACAGTTTTGCTTACTTTGGTTCTGAGCTGCTTCTGGTTCTATTTGAGAGCCTGCACTTTCCAGCCTCCATTGCCTCTGCTAGAGGCATCAGCAGTGCTTGTGCTGCTTTTGCCTCTGAGGTTGCTGGTGCCTTACTACTTTTGATGTCACTGCAGTCTCAGGTATTGCCACCAGGGTCACTAGGCTCTGAGCAATTCTGCTGCTTCCAGGTCACCTGGGTCTCATGTTCCCCCACTTGTTCTTGGGCTTTCCATGGGCTTGGGTGCTGCTGCCCTGTGCTCCACCTGTTTTGCTGCTCTTGGGTTATCTGGGGGTGCTGGCAACCTCTGCTGCCGGGGGCTCTGGGTCCACAGGTGTCGCTATTGCTGGCCCAGATTCTTGTATGCAGCCCTGCTGCTGGTAGAGCTGGTGTTTGGGGTGCCGCCACTGGGGACTGGGTCACTGGTTTTTCTGTGGTTCCTGAAGCCTCAGGTTGCAGGTGCTACCTGCCACTGCTGGGGGAGGAATAGAGGGTAAGCCACAAGTTTTCACGCAGTCCTGCAGTCTCTGGTTGCTGGCGCCCACCTGTGTACTTTTGGAGACCTCAGGTCAGGGCACCCTGCTCCTGCGGTGAAATCCACATTTTGGTTCCTGTCCCCACTGCTGAAGATACTAGTGCCACTGCCAGGGGAGGAGGAAGGGGGCTGGGTCACTGGTACTGCTTTGTGTCTTGAAGCCTCAGGGTGTGTGTGCCACCCACCACCACTGGGGGAGGGCAGGGGCCACAGCCTTTGGTTGTTGGCACTAGCATGTGTGCTGGTAGCCTGCTCTAAAACCTCAGATCAGGATATCCTGCCCCTGCAGAGGAAATTTATGCATTGGATGTAGTCCCCACTGCTGGAATGACTGGCGCCACTGCTGGGGGAGGGAAAGGGGCCAGGTCTCTATTCTGTGTCCTAAATCCTCAAGACGTGTGCCACCTGCCACTGCTGGGAGGGGCAAGGGCCACAGCTCTGGTTGCCAGAGCTGGCACGCACATGCTGATGCTCTGCTCTGAAACCTTGGATCGGGATTCCCACCCCTGCTGGGGAAATTCATGCATTGAATATAGTCCCCAGTGCTGGAAGGACTGGCATCACTACTGGGGGATGGGAAGGGGACTGGATTGCCAGCTCTGCTTTGTGTCCTAAAGCCTTAGGTTGCCGGCTGTCCTGTGTGTCCTAAAGCCTCAGGACATTTGCACCACCCACCACTGCTGGCATGGTGGGCAGGGGCCAAGCCCCAGGTGCCTTGTTTGCCCTTGCAGCCTTTGCTCACTGGCATGCTTGCTGGCATGAGGATTCATGTTTTGGATCACTGCCACTGAGGGAGAGGGAGGGGGCTACTCCCCTAGTTCCACTGCCTCCTTGGGGTCCAGTCCACCCACCTTCAGGTGTCCAGATGCATGGATCACTCAGGCGCTCTGTGTGCTGTGCAGGGAGTTCTTTGTTGGTCACTTGATGTCTGACTGGTTGTAGCTTAGAGGGTGGAGACAAGGGGAATGACTCACTGTGCCATGATGCTGACGTCACTGCACATGAGTTATTTTCTTATATTTAGGGTACTACACAGAGACCTTTATCAGGGTTGGTAAGTTCACACACGTGCAGGAGTCAGGCAGGGAATTATAACTCATAAAGTGGGCAGAGGATAAAATGGGAGTTCTAAAGCAGCTTGTATTTTGACCAGCCTTAACCTTTCCCTTTCAGGGTTCTGCGCAGGGCCAAATAAAACACACTGACAGGCAGAGGCAGTCACCCATTTGCAACCTCAGCCTTAGGTCTTTGATAGTTCCTTGAGGTGCTTCTCTTGTGGCACTTTGCTGCTTTGGAGACCTTGAGGTTTATTCTGAGACTCGTAGAAGCAGTTTCCTAGGTTGTCGTTACAGTGTATCCTGAAGACTGGGTATAGGTTCTTTGTAATAAGGCTGGAGTGCTTTGCTTATTTGAAGGCCATTTATTTGGAACCTAGCCAGGCTCCAGGAAAAAATGCAAAAGGCCATTGAGAAGCTGCTACAAATGTTACAAACTCCATGCATAGCATGTTTACTGGATGAATCCTCTAGGTCTTCATCTATTTCCTTGTACTTTCCATTTTGTAGATGTTCGTAAAGAGTAGATCATTTCAATAATTGAAGTGACCTTAGAGACCATCTAGTTCACTCTCTTTCATTGTGTAGTTGGTTAGGGAATTCTTCCCTGGTTAACATTGGTGGGTCTCTCTATTTCTGACACTGGTAATTAAAATGACAAGTGAATACACTTTAATTATCTAGAAGTGGAGTGGGCAAACTGTGAAGGGCCAGATAATAAATATTTTAGACTTTGCGGGCTACATGTGGTGTTTATAGAAAACTCTTCATTAAAATATAAAAATCCTTCTTAGCTGGGAGTCAGACGAACACAGGCTGCTGGTCAGGCCTGGCCCACAGTCTGCAGTTTGTTGACATCTATCTAGAGCATGGCTGTCCCATAGGGCTTTCTGTGTTGTAGCCACTGAGTACTTGAAATGTGACTAGTATAACTGAGGAAAAGAATGTTTACATTTATTTAATTTTATTTAAATTTAAATAGTCACATATGTCTAGTGGCTATCATATTGGACAATGTAGATCTAGAAAATTCACTGTGGAGTGAATAAAGCTTTAGCATGCTGTAAATTTTTTAGATTGCTTCATTTATATTCCTATTTAACTGTCTCTTAATAGGGGGTTTTCAGCTTGTGCTTTTCATTTTCCCCTTCTCCAGCTTACTCTACTTCCATAATAATATTTGGTGGAAAGATTTTCCAGAACGGCTTCTGTTCTGATCATTCTTTCTCTCCTCATTTCAGTGAGGCTGAACTGGAGGAGGTGTTGACTTTTTATACCCAAAAAAACAAGTCTGCAAGTGTCTTCCTGGGGACTCACTCAAAAAGTTCTAAAAACAGCAACAGCTATTCTGATAGCGGGGCAAAGGGTGGTAAGTATGTTGGTTAATTAATGAAAACTAAGAAGAACAAGTGAAATAATGAGATATGTAAAGGAGAGCCAACAATAATGTTCTGCTTCAGCACTAATAGACTCCAAGGTGGTGACATGGTACAATGTAGAGGCGGGAGATGAGGAAGCATTACATTTTTGTCCTGAGAGCAGAAGAGGGACGTGGTCTGATTTTTTTTCATGGTAATTAACAGCAGAGAGTGTTTCAAGACAAGCTAATGATAAGCTAATATTTAGGAAGCCACTTACATTGCTATGTGCTGGCTGTGATATTATTTTTTTACTTCCAAAAACCATATGGAGTAGGTGCTATTATAAAACTTCTTTACAGACGAGAAAACAGAAGCTGAGAGAGACTGACTAACCGTGGGGTGGCACGGGAATTTGAACCTTAGTTGGCCTGACTCAGAGCTTATGGTCTTAATCTGTGGCCTTCTGCCTCTCCTAATGATTATTTCTCACTTATTAAATTTTTGCTTCCTCTAGCTCACCACCATTGGCATTCGGGGTAGGAGAATTCTTTGTTGTGTGGGACTGTTCTATACCTGGTGGGTTGCCTAATATTCTTAGTCCCAGGCCCTAAATGCTGTTAGCTTACTTCAGACAGTGTGATAATCCAGTGTCCCCATGCACTTCTAAAGTTCTTACGGCTGGGGAACTCCAGGACTGGGGCATTTTTGAGTTGGTGTGGACCAAACCAGCTCATGTCGTGTGATCAAAAAATTGCAGTGATACTCTCTTATAAACAAAGTTTTGTGCTTTAAATGTAAGATTCATTTAAAATCTACATGGAAGTGTAAGACAGGTAATCAATAAACTCATTTTGTTCGTGTGCTAAGCACTAGATTCAAAGATGGAGACATGTTCCCTGCTCTTAAGCTTACCACAGTCCATTGTGGAAATAGCCAGCATAATTGATCATTTAAAATGTAGAGTGAGTTTTCCCGAAGAAACAGTGTTAATGTTTTAAAACCTGTTTAGATTCAGAGGCTAGTCCACAAAAGCCTATTTAGCTCACTGTATAATTGAATTATTGTATTATTAGAAGTCCTTCTGAGTCCAGCCCTCTGAGCTTTCCTAGGTTGTCTGAGTTCTGAAGCTAGTTTATTCATCTGTTCATTCATTCCTGCTACACATTTTTACTGAGCACCTATTATGTGTCAGACACTGTGATAGTTGCTAGGTATACAATGACCAAGACTGTCATAGTCCTCGACTTCATAACTTTTATCATCTAGTGGATGAAGTTGGGTGAGTACATACAGGAAAAAAGTTGATGGATGCTCTGAGAAGCTCCTATAGCAGTGTTGGGAAAGGGAGGCTGAGGAGTTTTTGTAATGAGGTTGGGGTAGGGAAAAGTGTGTTAACCTAGGGAGGTCAGGGCCTAGACTGGCGTTCAGATGGAAATTTTCCCCTGGCGGTAATGGAGAAGCCCTAACAGCATGTACTGGCTGCACCTATTTGTACAGATGGGTCCTTGGAAATTCTGGAGACTGCCTTTACATAAGAAGATCTATACCTATCAAGAATAACTACTGCCCAGAGAGGCAGTAGGAAGACCTCAAGGAAACATGACGTTTGATCATATCTAGACTCATTTCAAACATAAGCAAACAAATATGTGACAGTTTTACCACTGCTGGTGCAGATGATAAGAGAATTAATCTGTCCTTATGAAAGATGATCTGTAAAATGGCCTTTCTTAAGTTTTTGTATGAACCTAGCCCCTGAGAAAGATTTTGGAACATTTACCTAAATATGTGATTAGCTCTGGCTATCCTGTTTCAAAATTCTGTGGTAGAAAAAACCTAATTTATTAGAGTGATTTTGTTATTGAATATGTTGATCAGCTTATCTCAAGTAAACTCACTCAGCTTACTCAAGTCAAACCAAGGATTTATGTTACGATACAGAACTATTGTGGTATCCAAATATCAACAACAAATACTGGGGCTCTTCTTTCTATCTCTTGGGAGTTGCCCTGCTCCATACATATTAAGACTTCCTTGCTCCATTGGGTACCACCAACCAGCTTGGTCTCTTAGTTCACTTAGTCTGAATTCTTGGCAGAGGTGTCTGACTGCCATTACCTATTTTCTTTTCCAGGCATATCCTAGCTTGTTGGCAGTCCATGGATGGCTACCCAGGGTCTAAGTATCTTTCCCTGGTTCGGATAGCTGGAGCTGGGGTTGGGGATAGTTAAGAATCATGTGGTTGGTTGTCCACTCAACAGGACTGTGGTTATGGCCATCCTTGAAAAAGTGTGGTGAGATATGCAGTGGTTCCTAGCATTGATCACTAGTTGTGTTGTATTTTGGAAACAAAATTATATGTAGACCAATGCTTTAGCATTTGATTAGTAGGAAAGCCCAAGGTCAGTATCTTTTTCTCATTTCAGATCACCCTGAGACAACAGAAGAAGTGAAAATAAAGCAACCCAAACAGCAACAGGCAACAGAAATTCACTCTGATAAATTATCTCGTGAGTGACTTGAAATCTAAATAGATTTGCTGAGCTCTAAGTCCCCAAAAGAAAAACAAAGTCATCAGATATTAAATGATTCTAGAGCACGAGACGTTACCCTAAAGAAGTTCTTTTTCTTTGTTTTTCTTTTTCCATTAGAGTTTCCTCTTATCTACTGATAACCTATTTTCCTTTCAAGGAATTGTTCGCTTTCTTAGTGTTTAGAAATTCTGAGCACTTTGTTTTTTCCTAGAAGGGTGAAAAGCAGAGGGAGAGGAGTTAGCTGTCACTACCTGAAACTGTCCTGATGCTCTGACATTTGTAAAACTCTCGCTCTGGTTGATGGAGGTAGTCCCAACTCCAGCTTTTAGAAAGAACTAAAAATGAAGTATTTCTGTTGCCGGGTGGTGGCAGTAGGCAAAATTCATTAAGTTCATGATGGATGCTCGTTAAAGTCTGTATTTTTCTTGATTTCTGTTTCATGCTAAGATTATTTTGATGTTTAAAAATGTTTACTTCATGTTTTATAGAGATTATATATAATGTCAGTTTTTCTAAAATGATCTGTTTTTTGTTTGTTTTTATTTTAATAGGATTTACCACTTCAGCAGAAAAAGAGACTAAATTAGTCTATACCAATTCTTCCTCTGCTGCTTTCTCTGGTCCTACTGCTACTCTTCTGCAGAAAATTCCCAACACCCATTTTTCATCTGTTGTTACAACCTCTGACCTCTCAGCAGGGCCTGGCCACCATTCTTCTTTATCTCAGATCCCTCCAGCTATCCCCAGCATGCCTCACCAGCCAACAATTTTACTGAGCACCGTCCCTGACAGTGCTTCTCCCTCTATACGTCCTGGAACACAGAGCATACCAAGCCCCGCTGGCCTGCCACGCTGTCGATCAGGCAGTTACACCATTGGTCCCTTTTCCTCTTTCCAAAGTGCTGCACACATCTATAGCCAGAAACTGTCTCGTCCCTCTTCAGCAAAGGCAGGTGAGTGAGAAAATGAAAGGCAGCCTGCAATGTCAGCTCCTCCCCAGCCCCATTAAAAAAAGAATGTCATCTCTTCCCTTTGCCTTTTCTTTCGAAAGGTAAAGGGACACAGGCTGCATTGTTCTGATGCGACTAAGGAAGAGTCTTGCATTTGGTCCAGTAGCATTCTTTGATATGAAATGAAACAGGACTTCTTTTAGGTGCTGGGGATAAAAAGATGAATAAGACAAGGCTTCTGTTTACTAGGAGCTTGCAGTCTAGTCAGCAGATTTCCAATCACAGATAATCATAGACCTATGAGTGTGCCATGTGTCTTCTTTCAGATTCAAATAGTTATTCCTGACATCAGACAGGTTAGTATTTTTATTTTTCAGGGTAAACTCAAGTATGACCTGAATAAATAACCAAAAAATTCTTAAAATATGGTATCTTATTTTTAAATGAAGTAGACTCATATATCATTCAAGTTTCTTCCCTCTTTTTTATAACAGCTTTATTGAAATATAATTCACATACCATAAAATTCACCCCTTTAAAGTGTACAATTCAGTGTTTTTTAGTATATTCACAGTATTGTGCAACCAACACCACTATTTTATTGTAGAACATTTTCATTATCCCCAAAGAAACCCCATACCTATTAACAGTCACTTTCCATTTTCTCCTCCCGCTGGCCCTGGCAGCTATTAAATGACTTTCTGTCTGTAGATTTGCCTATTCTGGACATTTCATATAAGTGGAATCATATGATTGGTGTTCTTTTGTGAATGGCTTCTTTCACTTATCGTAATGTTTTCAGGGTTCATCCATCTTGTAGCATATATGAGTACTTCATTCCTTTTTGTGGCTGAATGATCGTCCGTTGGATGGATATACCACATTTTGTTTATCCATCTGTCAGTTGATGGACGTTTGGGTTGTTTTCACTTTTTGACTGTTATAAATAATGCTGCTTTGAGCATTCTTGTACAAGTGTTTGTGTGGACCTGTGTTTTCATCTCTCTTGGGTATATACCTAGTTGTGGAATTACTGGGTCATATGGTCACTTTATGGTTCCTCTTTTTGAGGAACTTCCAAACCGTTTTCCAAAGTGAGTACACCAATTTACCACCAGCAATGTATGAAGGTTCCAGTTTCTCCATAAGCTTGTCAGCACTTAATATTGTCTGTTTTTTTTTTTTATTTTGCCTATCCCGGTGGGTTTGAAATAGTATCTCATTTTTGTGGTTATCATTTGCATTTTCCTGATGACTAATAGTGTTGAGCATCTTTTCAAGTGCTTATTGGCCATCTGTATACCTTCTTTGGGTAAATGTCTATTCACATCCTTTGCCCATTTTTAAATTAGGATATTTGGCTTTTTATTGTTGAGTTGTAAGTGTCCTTCATATGTTCAGGATACAAGTACCTTGTCAGATACATGATTTAGAAATATTTTCTCCCATTCTGTTGGTTGTCACTTCATTTCCTTGAAGCGCAAAAGTTTTTAATTTTGATGAAGTCTAATTTATTTATTTTTTTATTGTTGCTTGTACTTTTAGTATCGTATCTAAAAAAATGTTTGCCTAACCCAAGGTTGCAAAGATTTATGTGTATGTTTTTCCTAAGAATTTTATAGTTTAGGCTCTTACATTTAGGTCTTTTATCCATTTTGAATTCATTTTGTACATGGTGTCACATAAAGGTCTATCTTAATTTTTTTTGCTTGTGGATATTCAGTTGTCCCAGCCCCACCTGTTAAAAGAATATTATTTCCCTGTTGAATATTCTTGGCACTCTTGTCAGAAATCATTTAATCATAAATGTAAGGGTTTATTTCTGGGGTCTCAATTCTATTCCACTGATCTATATGTCTGTCTGTGTGCCGGTACCACGTTGTCTTGATTACCGTAGCATTGTAGTAAGTTTTGAAATCACCGAGGGTGATTCTTCCAACTTTGTTCTTCTTTTTTGTATTGTTTAGGCGTTCTGGATCCCTTGCATTTTCAGATGAACTTCAGGATCAGCTTGTCAATTTTTGCAAAAATAGATGGGATTTTGATAGGGATTGCACTGAATCTGTAGATTAGTTTGGGGAATATCTTAACATCAGTCAAGTTTTTAAACACTTTAGTAATATCCTTGTTAAGGTGAGTTACAGCTAAGCTATGTTTTCTATATAGCCAATCTATATTTTTTAATCAGTATCTGATTTCAAATGAAATGGATATTATAGTATACAGCTTGAATCAGAGGTGTTAATGGTCCAGTTTAATAAATCATAAATATGAATATGTGCATATATGTGTGTCTATGCTAGTTCTGGGTGTTTACTTTTGGGATTTAATCTTCTAAAATCAATAATAATAATAATAATAATAATAGTCTTCTAGTTTGGACTATTTTCTTCCATATGAGAAGTTCAATAAAAGATCAGTGTTGCCAGTACCCTATATTGTCATCAAAACTTTTTTTTAAACCTTCTTTTTTCATCCTTTCCCAGAGAGGAATAGAGAATAGAAGCAGCTAGTCACTTCAAAAATATTTTCTAGTTTCTGTTGTGATTTCTTGTTTGACCCATGGATTGTTTATAAGTATATTGTTTCATTTTCAGATAGTTTACGTTCTCTACTTTTTGTAATTGGCCTTTAGCTTATTTCCACTGTGGTCAGACATCATATTCCAAATTGCTTAAACAATAGTAGACAACAATATATAGATAACAATGTATGTATAGTCAACAACAGTGTAGTAGACAACAATAATAGCCTGTAAGTGATTGGAGTCAAATTTTTCCATGGTGATTGAATAGTTTTGGAATGAGATTAAAATATTATTTAACTTTAGACTTTTTAAAGATAAATATACTGTATCAACTTTCAAAAGTCACCACTAAATGGATAAAATACAGAAATTCTAAACATACAGGAAGAAGAAAAATGGATTGAGGGGGAGAAAACCCACAAACATAGAAGCGTACAAGCAAGAAGCTTAGAAAATGCAAGAGACATGGAAACTTAAAAGATGCTAAACCAAGCCCCAATTTATTAAGAAATCAAATAAACATAAATGGGTTGAACTTGTTAGAAGAGTGTCAGATTGAATGTTTTAGAAATCCAACTATATGTTGTTTACCAGAGAGAGATAAACCTAAAGATAAGGACATGGATGACTGAAAGTAAAAGGATCAAGAAAGAAATACCATGTAAATACCAACCAGAAGGAAGATGGTCTAACTATATTAATATCTGCTAACATAGACTCTAAGATATAAAATTTTCCTACAGATACAGAGAGTAATTACATAAAACAAAAGATTCAGTTCTGCCGAAAGACAAAACAGTTCTAAGTTCACCTAATAAAATAAGCTCCAAATATATAAAACAAAAATTGATACAGTTACAGGAGAAATCTACAAATCTGATGTCTTAGTGGGAGATTTCCGCATACTTCTATCAGTTATTAATAGACTAAATAGATTTTCTTTTAAAGATTTTATTTTTCCTTTTCCGCCCCAAAGCCTGCCGGTACATAGTTGCATAGTTTTAGTTGCGGGTCCTTCTAGTTGTGACATGTGGGACGCTGCCTCAGCATGCCTTGATGAGTGGTGCCATGCCTGCACCCAGGATTCGAACTGAAACCCTGGGCCACTGAAGCGGAGCACATGAACTTAATCACTCGGCCATGGGGCCAGCCCCCAAGTAGATTTTTTAAATCAGCAAAGATAAAGAGGATTTGAACAAGATAATAAGTTTTGTCTAGTGATTATTCATAGGACTGTGTACCCAAAATTAGAGAAAATATCTTCTCAAGCACACATGATATATTTATAAAAACCGGTCATATCCTACATCATAAAATAAGACCACAAATTTTAAAGAATTGGTATCATAAAGCCACATTCTCTGTCCACACTCCAATTAAATTGAATGTCAGTAACAAAGAAATATATAACAAATTGTCATGTCTTTCAAAATTTAAAAGAGTTGAAGAAGAAATCATAATGGAAATAAATTTACAGGAATTAGAATTGAATGATAGTGAAAAAGCTGCATGTCCAAATGTGTGGAGAACATGAAAGGCAGTATTTGGAGGGAAATTTACTTCCTTAAATACATTTGAAAAGAAGAAAGGCTGAAGATTAATGTGCTAAATATCGGATTTCAGACATTATAAAAACAACAGTATCATAAATCTAAATAAAAGAGAACTTAATAAGAGCAAAAATCACAGAATTCAAAAATAAAGTACAGTAGAGGAAATATCAAAACCAGAAAGTTCTTTGAGAAGCATAATAAGTTGGACAAACCTCTGGTGAGAGTGATCAAGAAAAGAGAGAAAACATGCATAAATAATAGAAGGAATGGAAAAGCAGACAGAAAATATAGCACAGGTGACAAAATTAATAGAATACTGTTAACTACTTTATTCCAATAAAATTGAAAACTTATACAAAATGGATGAATGCCTAAAGAAGTATAACTTAAGTAAAGTTGAGAAGAGGAAGAAAGCCTGAATAGTCCTATAAGTATTAAAATAATTGATACAGTAGTTAAAAATCTTCTCACAAAGAAAACATGAGGCCCAGATAGTTTTATAGGTAAGTTTTAATGATCTTTTAAGGGGCAGATAATTCCAATCTTAAACTCTTCTAGAGAATGAAAAAAGAGACAGTAATCCTTAACTCATTATGTATGGCTAGTTTAATCTTGATAACAAAGCCAGTTAAGGACAATATTAGAAGGGAAAATTATAGACCAGTTTTGTTTATGAACATAAATGCAAAAATTCTAATCAAAATATAAACCAACTAATTCTAGCAACATATGAAAAAGATGGGATACCATGAGCAACTTTATCCAAGGAATATGGGGGGGTTTAACATTAGGAAATCTATAAATGTCATTTGCCACGTCAGCAGATTAAAGGAGAAAACCTATATTCATCATCTTAGTAGATGCAGAAAAAGAATTTGATAAAATTCTTTGCTAACTCTTGATAAAATTCTTTGCTAACTCTTGCATACTAGAAAGAGCAGGAGACCCTCAACTTGAAAAAGGCTATCTGCCAAAATCCTGCAAGAGGTATCAGTGTAAATGGGGAAATGTTGAAAACATTCCCTTTAATGTTAAGAGCAAGAAAAGAGCGCCCACTAACATTGCTTCTATTCAGTGTTTTACTGGAGGTCATAGCCAGAATAATAAGATAAGAAAAAGAAATAAAAAACATGAGGATAATAAAAGATGAAATGAAATTTGTTTATATCCAGATAATACATATCTACATAGGGCACTGAAAATAATCTACAGATAGATTTTAGAAATAATTAGTATTTCTATAGATGGCATAAGAGCAGTATTAAAAATCAGTAGCTTTTTTTATATATTAACAACAAAGATGGCATAAGAGCAGTATTAAAAATCAGTAGCTTTTTTTATATATTAACAACAAAGAGCTAGCAATTTTTTTTTGAATTGTAGTAAAATAGACATAATATAAAAGTTACCATTTCAGGGGCTGGCCCCATGGCTGAGTGGTTAAGTTCACATGCTCCACTGCAGGCGGCCCAGTGTTTCGTTGGTTCGGGTCCTGGGCGCGGACATGGCACTGCTCGTCGGGCCACGCTGGGGCGGCGTCCCACATGCCACAACTAGAAGGACCCACAACAAAGAATATACAACTGTGTACCAGGGGGCTTTGGGGAGAAAAAGGAAAGAAATAAAGTCTTAAAAAAAAAGTTACCGTTTTAACTATTTTTAAGTGTACAGTTCAATGGCATTAAGTATATTCACATTATTGTGCAACCATCATCACCAAGGAAACAATGTTTTAAAAAACGTCATTTACAATAGCATAAAAACTATAAGCTATTGAGGGATAAATTTAGGAAAGACTTTTATAAGACTTTGTTGAGAGACATTAGAGAAAACCTAAATAAATGAATAAATAGACTTTGTGCATGGATAGGTGGACTCAATATCATAAATGTTTGTAATCAGATTAATCTCTGGATTCAATGCAATTCCAACCAAAATCTCAACAGGTTTGTTATTGTACTTGACAAACCTATTCTAAAATGATAATGAAAAGGCAAAAGACCAAGAATAGTGAGAATATACTGAAGAAGAAAAGGTGGAGGAGTGTCTTATTAAGGCTTAACATAAAGCTATGTTAACTAAGATAGTATAGTATTGGAAAGGGTACAGGCACACTGACCAGTGGAACAGAATAGAAAGTTGGAAAGAATCACCCAAATAGGTGAAACTTTGACATTTGACAGAGGTGACATTGTAGATAGTGGAAAAGGAGGGATTTCTCAATAGTGCTGGGATAATTGGTTATCCATACAGGAAAAAAGTGAAATTAGATCCCTGCCTTGCACTATGCGTAAAATCAGTTTCAGATGCAAAACTTAAAACTTCTAGAATAAAATAAAGGAGACCATGTTTAAGATTTTATGATAGGAAGCAAAAGTAAAAACATAAGCAAAACTGCTATAAATCAATAAGAAAAAGGCAACCCAATAGAAAAATTATCAGTGATATCAGAAAAGAGGTAACAGGTGCTCAACAACGTTATTAATCAGATGAATGTAAATGAAGACTACCGTGAGATTTTACACCTAAAAGAGGGAAGAATTAAGATGCTTGACAATACTAAGTGTTGGAGAAGATGTGAATCAGTAGGAACTGAAAATGTGTGGGAGTGTAAAAATTACCATTTGACATTATCACGTAAATTTGTTTAAATTCACATACCCTATGACCCAACAATCCCACTCCTAGGCATATGCACAAGAGAAATTCTTCATTATGTGCACCAGGAGATGTGTGCAAGAGTGTTCACGACTACACTGTTTATAATACCAATAAGCTTGAAATAATCAAAATACCCATTGGTAGGGGAATAGAAAAATGAGTTGTAGTGTATTTGCAAAATGGAATTCAAAACAGAAAAAATTAGTGAATTTCAGCTATACTTGGAAAGAATGAATTGTGGAAGTATGGTACTGAATAATAAGCAAGTCCCAGGAAACTGCTAAGTAGGATGCCATTTTTGTAGAGCTCAAAAACAAGCAAAATTAACTAGTGTTTTGTTTAAGTATGCAAGCACACACAAATACATAAGACAGAAGTATATTTTAAAAAAGGAAGGGGATGAATGAAAGGGGAGATTAGGGATGAGGAGGAGCATCTGGGTTGATGCATGTTAATTGGTGTGTGGTTCTTGGGTTGGGCAGTAAGTTCATAGATGTTCATTATAGTATGTTTTATAACTTCATCTCTTATAAATAGTATTTTGTATGGATTAAATAATATAAGAAACATGGAAAAATCTGTTAGAGATTTTTTTTTTTTGAGGAAGATTAGCTCTGAGCTAAGTCTGTTGCCAGTCTTCCTCTTTTTTGCTTGAGGAAGATTCGCCCTGAGCTAACATCTATACCAGTCTTCCTTCATTTGGTATGTGGGTTGCCACCACAGCATAGCTGATGAGTGGTGTAGGTCGGTGCCCAGGATCCGAACCTGCAAAATCAGGCTGCCGAAGCAGAGCACACCGAACCTAACCACTACGCCATGGGGCCAGCCCCTGTTACAGACTTTTTAAAGCAGTGTCACCAAATTGTATATATAAAATGACCATGGTTGTCTAAACGTTAATAAGACAGAAAGAAAACACATTATAATGTTTCTAATTTTCTCAGTTTTTAATTTTTTTCCAATGAGATGTATGACTTTTATCATTAAAAAAATATAAACTTTCATTTTATATGAATTTCTTTCTGCCAAAATTTCAGTGCTCAGAAATAATAGAACTCTCTGATATTATAGTTGAAAGAAGAAAATTTAAATCTGAAAGGAAAATCAGTTGTTTGATGATATAAGATTATTGCTGTTTTTCTAAATACACTCAGTTTTGCTTTTATCGCTACTTCCTTTTTGAGCTTTGTAAGAAGGGCTGTGGATGATTTGACACGCGATGTCATAGACTAACAAGTACAGTCACATAACAAGAAAAACAAGAATTATGAGTTTCAAGGCTACATTTTTTATTCATTAAGGTTAGTAAATTCTGGGATTGATTGTTCCCTGCTACATATGACAAAAATTCTTTTTTGTGAGGCATTCGTAGTGAGCAAAAACACATTCATAAATGCATGTCACAATTTGGCGGTAGGACCAGTTTCTAGGGTACGGGTAGGGATTTAGTTTTGTTTTGGTGAGCATCTGTAGATAGTTTATTGCTCCTTAGGTTGTCGCAGATCCCTAGGATTCAGTAAAGTGTCTGTGGGCTGAGACTTCTCTGTCATCATCCTGAGTTTTTCAGGGCTTTTTTCCTAAGAGGGGAAAACTTTTCTCTTTTTTAGCAGGTTCATGCCATCCAAACAAGCAGCATTCAGGAGTAGCCAAAACACAAAAGGAGGGAGAAGATGGTTCTTCGCACAGCAAACGATACAACCAAAGCATGGTGACGGCCGAACTTCAGCGGCTGGCTGAGAAGCAGGCAGCAAGGCAGTATTCGCCGTCCACGCACATCAGTCTCCTCACCCAGCAGGTATGGACAACCGGTTTGGGGAGCCCAAGAGCTCTTTGGACCCGAGGAGAGGATTAACAACAGGGTACTCTGTCCTCCCCTGTCTTTATGACTTCCCAGAGACTGGTGACTGTTGAATGAGTGTTAGTGAGTTTCAAGCTAAAGAATGAAAATGTTCCTCTTCAGCTTTAAAGAAAGAGTTTCTGTTACAGGTATTGCAAAGTTAAGTCTGCTAAGGCTCTGATGTACTTACTTCATGGATAAATAGACTTGAATGTTCAGCTGTAAATATACTTTTAAAGGATCTTTAAAAATAACTTCTTCCTTGGTAAAATTTTCCAGTGAGTTCTAGTCTTATAAATCTTTTTACCAGAATGCCATAACATTACCTTTTACTTTCTTTTTTTTTTTTTTTACTGTACTACCTTTCATCTCATGACCTTAGGATGTTTTCTGGGTACTAGTTAATGAATTATTTCAATACACTCTTATCCAGCACACATCCTTCTCCCCATTTTACAGATGAGGGAAACTGAGGCTGAAAGAAGTGATGTAATCAAGGTCATCCGGCAAGCTGGATGGATACCAGGATTTTGACTTTGTTATATGTCTAATAACAAGCTTACAACACAGTGAAGTTAGATGAAATTTTCAAGAACTTTGGGGTTCTTTTTGCCCTTCTTGCTGTTTACCCCTATGGTGTTTAACTGGAAGTAGAAGCCGTATTTTCTCCTTTTCCTTAATGCAAAATAGCAACAAACTTCTCCAAAGGAATCATCATAATTTAACTCCACAGTTTTATTTTGCTATATCTGTGTTGTGCCGAATTCCTTAATTGGTGGCAACTCTGTAGTGACAACGAAGTCTAGAAAAAAGTGAAGCTGAAAATTACTTCAGGCGCATGTTAAAGTAGGCAACACACTGCTCCCTGGTGGTGCCCTACTTCTCTGTATAAAGTTTGGGACCAGAATTCAGATTATTTTTTAAATCCTTAATAGTTTGAAGCAAGTGGGTGAGGAGGACTAGTGTGATGTAGGAAGCAAGGAGTCTTACGTGGCATGTTGAGACTTGAAGGGAGTTGGATAGTTAGATCTTAGTGATAGAATAGAGGGACTAGAACATGGTGACCATGGTAGAATGGAAAGGAATTTTGAAATGTGAAGTAGCTACAATGAAGGTAGGGCCAGTGATTTGCGACACTTTTTTCATTGGGTCATTGACTAGAGTATGTTTCCGATTTATACATGAGTAGCTAGAAGCACCAAGACATTGAGAAATTTTCTTTGCAATTGTAGTAAAAAACTTAGCTAATATTAGTCTTTACATGTTTTCAACTCCTGTCATTTGGTAGACTGCAAAGCTTGCAAAATGGCAGGATTCTGATGCCGTGAAATCCAGGGTGATTGTATCCTAGTTGGGAAGTCATCCCCCTTCAGTCCATCTTTCTTATCTAAGAAGAATTTCAGTGCCAGTGAATTAAAAGTCCATCAGACCTCTCTTCGTAGGGATCTGAACTTGCCATTAGATGTCAGTCTTAACTTTTAGAGTCTTGCTGACAGGGTGGTTAGTGCCTGGTACAATAGTGAGGGAGCTGCTGCTGTATGTAATGAGCAGGGCAGAGTAGTCGAAAGAGAGCTGGATTAGCCATCTAATGACCTGCCTACTTCTTCCACTTACTAGCTGTGTGATCTTGGGCAATTCACTCAACTTCTCTCAACCTTACAGTCTTTATTTGTTCATAGGGAAAATACAACAGGGTCATGAAGATGGTGTGCAAAAACCTCTTTGTTGGGTCAAAATGCCATATGCTTGGAAAATATTATTTCAACCATAAACAACTTTCAATAATAAATGATTTCTAATTTGATTTGAAATAGGTTTTTGGATAAAATATAGTGTTACCAAAATAAAATATGAAAAGCTCAATTATATGTTATTTGGCCTCTTCCCCTCAGAGAAAATAATTCCTTAATTTGGAATTTGGAAAATTCTGCCTTTTATTGTTCTTTTTCTGGTAAATAACTAATAGCGTGTTATAATGGCTTAATATCAGCTCTAGTATATTTGTTTACTAGCTGTTTCCTTTTTCTCCTAGCTATGTTTGGAAGAAAGTTTCTTACTCACTCCTCTAGTTTCTTACTCACTGAGGCAAGTGACAAAGTGTCCATGGCTTTCTGGTGAGAGGGGGGCATCCAGACAGGAAGTGGTGGGGGCTCTGCCCTTCTCTCTGGATTTGAAGAATGAAAGCTCACACTCAGCTGCGTCAGAAGCAACCTTGTGTCCAGTTATCACTTTAAATGCTTTTGATTTCCTCTTACCTGAGATTATTTCCTTATTTTCAATTCCTATTTTGTGTTTTCTTTTTTTTTTTTCATATATCCAATAGGCTTAATGAATATTTTCTTTTCCCCTTCCCTTTTTTTGATAAGATAATTCTGGATATATTTATTCATTCACTTGTTTTCTAATTGATTATTTTGTTGTTTTATCTTTAATCTCCTTCCTTCTGCTCTCCCTAGTTTTGTGTTGTTATTTCCTCCCAATATCTTGAGTTGGGTACTTAATTTATTTACTTTCATTCATTCTTGTTTTTTACTATATTTACAGCTGTGAATTTTTCTCTGAGCATTGCTTTAATTATAGCATGTAAGCTCTGGTATATCTTTACATTTTTTTCTGTGGAGTGTTAAGAGACCTATTAAATGAGGAAAGCTGATTTTAAATTATTTATGCTATTTTGGAAGATGAGTATAAAAAATTGAAATCCTTGGCTATTTCTGAAAAATCATTTTATCTATCATTTCAACTACTTAGCCCATTAAAGTTTTTTTGTTTTTTTTTTTTTGGGACTTCAGCTACCAGAATTATGGTACAGTTCCATTAAAGTTTTTAGTGGCATTATCCATAAAACTTTTCATTCAGATGTGTTTGTTCTATTTATTCATTCAAAAACATTTTGTTAAGCTCTTCAGAGTGTTCCAGACTTTGGTACTAAGCCATAAGCAATAGTCCTCAGCATGAAATAACTAACAATCTGGTGAGGGTAACAGCCACATAAACACGTGATAATAAAATCATGGAATACGCATGACAGAGATTTCTAGGGAATAGCAAAACCACCAAAAGGGGTACCTAACCCAGCCTGTGGGTAGGCGTGAGAAGCAGCCCAAAGCAGCCCTCGTGGAAGAGATTACACCTAAACTGAATCTTCAAAGTAGACAGGTGGGTGGCAGAAGAAGGGTAGGGCGGGATCCAGAATGAAAGCTGGCGTGTGTGTATGTGGGAAAACAGCAAGCTGGGTAGTGGTGTTGGAGGCTAGGGAGTCCGCAGGGAACCTGGAGGAGAAGTTGAGCTGATTCCAGAGAGCTTTGAGTGCCCTGTGAAGGAACTTGCCCTCCATCGCAGTGACGATGGGGAGCCCTGGCGACAGTCCACGTAGCTGGCAGGAGGATGGATTAGAGGATGAAGCAGTGTCACCCCTTTTTCCTCCCTGCTCACTGGTGAACATGCTGGGGAAAAGCTAACTAGCCAGAAATAAAGAAGCAAAGTACTCTGACAACCCAAAAATTTGATGATAAAACTTTGAGTTACCCAGAATTTACGTTAGACGTTAGACTCTTACGAATTTGTATGGCTGAAAACAGAACCTCATTTACCTTCTAATGACTTTTACTACCTCTGCAATGATTTAACTTTGTTTATATCCTAGAACACATAAGAATATCAGACTTTCCCTGCCACATGAAGTGACCACACTGGCCACTTCAGAATTGTGCCAGCACAAGTATGCTTGAAAAGTGAAGAGATACATGTTTTTAACATAGAGTTATTCAACTGATACCTTACAAGTCTGAGCAGAGAGTAGGTCAAATTTAGTTCTTTCCCTTGGCACGTGAGAGGCTGGTTATCTTTTGGGAATGAGATCCTTTGGAAATTACTGTCTACCTCCTTGAAAGCAGGGCTTTCTAGAAGCATCTTTCGCCTCTGGGGAAGAGCACTGAGGTAGCTGACAGGGTGCTGGAGTCGAGCTTCAGTGTAAGGTCTGCCTATCTCTGCCTCACAGTGCTGCGAGAGGTGTGCTTTCCTCTCAGAACTGCAGCTCTGCACAGACATAGCGCTTGGTGGTTTTTGCTGTTAGCGAACAGAAGAATGTGGCGAATTAGCCCAGCTCTGTGGTGAGGAGTGGGAGGCAGGGAATCAGGGAGCACTGGCCCGCTCTGTGCAGGCGAGTGTGAGATTTCAGGACCCAGCTATCATTAGGAGCAGCTCCAGCTCTTCCAGCCTGGGAGTTTAATCAAAGGGATAACAGCAGACCACCCAGGCGAGGGCTCCAAGGCGGACGAATGTGCTGTGTCAGTCTCTGTTCCCCAGCCAGCCAGTGCCCAGGATGTGGCCAGGCCTCCTGGAAATGTGCTGACAGATACGTAGGAGGGAGGAGACACGTTTGCTTCTCACATTTTTCATTTAGATGGAGAATGGAAAAGAAAGCCATTCAGTTTCTTTCCTTTGTTGCCCCTTGCCCTGATAGTCCTAGAGAAGGGTCTATGCTGAGGTATAGAATGTTCGCTTCACACCGATTACTCATTCACACCCATTCGTATACAGGGGAATTCTCTGTCGTTTCTTCTGCTTCAGCAGCTACCATCGTAGTCGTGCTAATTTCTTCAGGGTCCACAGTGGACCTTGAGTGAATCCCAATTTCAGAAATTCCAGCTTGAAGGTGGAATTGGCAGAGAGGGAGCTAAATTTTTGAAATAGTTACAGATGTTCTCTCGAACTGAGGCAGATGGCACCCCGTTTATCACAGGCTTGGCTGTTGGGCACTGGAAGCTCTCTTCCTGCCTCCTTAGCTTATCGAGACACGTTTAACTGCTGTACGTTTGTGTTCTGAGTTTCTGGTGGTTTTCTAAGCCTAGCTTCTCTTTGGTTCTGTATTCTTTTTTCATAGAAAAAGTTACTCTTCTTTGTATCATATGCATTACTATTTCCCATTTCTAGAGACAGAAAAGGATAAATGGAAA